GTAAATGTCTCGTACAATATGAAATCTGAGCCCTCTGTGTTCATCTGAATCAGATGTGTGCTGCTTCTGACAATACCAGAACAATCAAGTTGCCTCAAAATTTTGAACTATATAACTCAATCTTGTCTACTGTTACCTTCATATTGGTCTTGTATGTATGTGTCTCCTTCCTGCCCCCAACCCCCTCGGCCTCAAGAATGCTGAAAGCAGAATCTTACAACATGCAAGATATTACACTGGTATGTGTGATTCTAGATAAACAGTGCCGCCAGCAATTTCAAAGCATATAATCTGTCTCCGGAATTAGTTTGATATATTCTTCCACTATCTGTGAAAAACAATTTTATATCTCTACACAGTCTGCTGTTGTACCAGAGGTAATGAAATTTCCGCTAAAGCTGGATGTCCTCCAAAACCAAGATTAAAGTTTACAATAGCCCTTTCGGCCTTTTCTGGACTTAATTACATTTATACAAAAATACATTGTTTAACTAGTTATAATTATTTCATCACATTGCTTTTCTTCCAAAGTGTTTTTTTTAGAGGGGCAGAGTCCTGATTTTTAAAAATTGGTAAATGTTTTTATGTTGTCTCGATGAAAAATGTGCCTTTAATATTTCAAATTGGAGCACTATTGTTGAAATAGGCGAACCCAATGTTCCAATGTTAGAATAAGAAAGACAAAAGCTTCTTTCTCTGCCCCCCCCCCCCCCCCCAACCCCAGCAAGAATAAATCTGACACAACAACTTGCATTTATATAGCACAGAGTATCCCAGAGCGCTTAAGGATATTATCCCAAACAGAGTATGGTGCTGTTTTAAATTGCTGTGGTGGTGGGGGGTGGGGGAAGGGGGAGAATGTGGTTTGGATGGATCCGAGTTATATCCTTGTTTTGAGAAAGGGCTGAGCCCACCTCCAGCAGAGGGGGACGCGCAGTAAACCAGCAACAGCTTATTTCATGCCGATAAGTTTGTTCCAACTTTCCTTTGTTTTTCCCCGGATCTGTTCCAATTTTCCTTTTTTTTTGTCCGTGTGTTTGTGTTTTTAATTAAAATTTTCCAATTAGTTTATCGTTTTTCATTAAGCTAGTGGAAACTTTTAAACATTGGGCTGTATTACACAGGGCAAAATAAACCATGTAATTGGCAGCAGTTAGACTAACTGTAACTTGCTGCTGGCCAGCTGTGCAGGTTCTCTCACTGAAAGTCATCCTGATTTTAGAAAGAAAGGTTAGACACAGTCCAGTCCACTTTCATAAAAGCACGCACCACCCAGATATGAGGCACTGAGGACTAGGTCCAATACAGTGCTATGATCTGTATTACCATTGGACAGACATTGAGTTACCCTTTGAATCAAGTTTAGATTTCAGCAGAAGTTTTATTGTTTTAAACAATTTACTGTATCTCATAATCCTTGCATTTGGTATAGAACCTTTCATTTCAAGAGAACATCCCAAAGCACTTCTCAGGATATACGGTAAAGTGGAGTAACTGTGTCTTTTTTTGGCAAATGTGGTAGCCACCTTTGCACACAAAAATAACTCCAAAACAGGGGGATTGTTGCCCAAGAAACTGGGAGAAACTCCCTTCTCTTTCAGAATAGTGCCGTGGGATCTTTAAATGTTCACCTCAATAGACAGATAGATGGGGCTTGGCTGAAGTACAGTATCTCCAAAAATGCAACACACCCTCAGCACTGCATTGGAGTATCAGCCTGGACTGTATGAGCTCCGAATCCAGACAACAACAACAAGATTCCATTTATAGAGCGCCTTTCACGTCGGGAGGACGTCCCAAGGCGCTGTACAGTTGGGTCAGGACCCGAGCAGGGGATAAAATGGTCAGGGTGAGGGAAGGGAGGGAGCGAGGAGGGGGTAGAGACTCGAGAGGGGAGCTGAAGGCACGGTCAAAGAGAAAACATGAGGCTTGAACCCACAACTTTTTGACTCAGAGGTGGGAGTGTTACCAACTGAGCCAGGCTGATTACCACAATGTTTGTGTGTAATACCATGTGTAAAGTTTTGTTGTGTGTGTGTGTGAGAGAGCGAGGCAGAGAAACAGAGAAAGACTATGTGTAAGGTCTCGTTCTGTCTGTGCTATTTTTCCTGAAATCCATTTCATAATGATTGGTGTGAGCGAGCACTACATGAGTGGTGAAATGCCACTCCCTGATGTGGTACTGGACCACATATATATCAGATTTGTTGTGTCTCAAAGCACTTCACAGAATATACTATAAAAAGAATTGACTGATAATTGACACATCGAATGATGCATTCTCCCTCCCAATTTATGTCACGTTATTTTGGTAGTCAGTCGATCTTGTATAAACTTGTTGTTGACTGGATCTGCTTCTTCAGTTGAGGTGATCTTGGTTCCTGAGGCAGGTAGGTCCACAGTACCCAAGGTATTATTGATGATAAACCAGCCAGCCCGACTCATCAGCAACACTTGGAGAAGTAGGGAAGGGAACGGGGAGGGGAACCTTATCACTCGGTTCTAGTTAACCCTCCAAGTTAAAGCCCTATTGAGTAAGGATGGTCCTAGCTGAATAAATAACAGGAAGTTTGCTAGTGTTCACATTGGTAAGCAGGTTGTTTTAGGTGGCTCAAGCTCCAGCAGTTTCTCAACGCACACTCTGGTATCCTCAACCTTTGGCTCTCGCCAACCTGCATCTAAGCTGTCTCAGGATTCAGTAAGCAGAGTGTGTCCCTGTGGTAGAGAGTGCATATTCTGTGACAGACACATGGAAACCATACATATGTGGAACCCTCAGTGGTTTGGTTTGGCAGTCTCTTAAGCACAATGATGCATTTACACATGTGTCCAACACCCAGCTGTCAAAAAAAATCAGGTTCATTTGAAGTTCATTTTAATCTTAATATTATTAATGAAAGACAATTTGGCAGCAGAATTACACGAATTGGCTTCAATCCTTTCTCTGGCAGCCCATAGATTGGGGAAGGAAAAGTACTGAGAGGAATCCATCTGAATCCAAAGACACTGACTTGTCACATTGTAAACTGGATGCAGAATTAAATCTTGAGAGTTTTATATATCCAAAGGGTATATTGCCAAATCTTCTCTGTAACCAGGTGACCTCTGGTTTCAAGAACCCTCACTTATCTTCAGTACGCATTAGATTTTGGGTGAGTGTCAGTTTAAAAAGAAAATGGAGTAAATTTTGTGGCATTTCAAAACTATCAATAGCATTAAATACTAAACAATGTGATCAGCCGCGATATCAAGATGCAAGTATTTCTTTTCTGTGTTTTTGTGAATCCAAGGACACACAAAGAAAGTCCACCAGTGTTGTTGCAAAGCTCCAAACACACACTGTCCAATTTTCTCCCAGGATAAATCAATGCTTTCAAGGAAGGAATGGTGGGGGCGAGAGGAACAATTGGGAAGAATCTATGGTAGGGCAAAATATACATGTTCTGCGGAAGGAATAGCCTTGATGGGCTAAATTCTCATTCATTACATTCTTGTATAATTATAAAATGGAGTCATATGCAAGATCTCTGCTTGAGAAAGTAGTTTGAATTGATGATGTTCCTGGAACTATCATAGATTTAATGGAATTTGTCCAATTGTTTTTGACCTGATTTGTAGGAGAAGAGTTTATGGTGGGTGACGTGTTATAAAAGTGACTGAGTTGAATGTCCCTTTGCGTTAAAGTGTATAAAGCAGTGTGTGTTTGGGTTGGTATTCTTTTGTTTTGGAATATCAACGGGCTGTTTGAAAACACTGAATGAATGAACATTGCTAACCAAAAACATCTTCCATTAGGAGTTATACAGTCTTTAAAGCACCGCATTATACCAGATCCTATTCTTGTTCTCTGGCATTCTCTCTCTGTGCGTATTAAGTCTTTTTTTCTTATCTTTTATTTGTCTCTCACTTTCTGGTCTTTCTTTCTCTCTCCCAAGTCGAGTGCACTCTCTTTTTTCTCTCTCTCACTTCCCGAGTCATTTTCCCTCTCACTCTCCTCTCCACACACCAATCACTATAACTTTCTCTCTCCCTCCCTGATTCACTCTTTCTCCAACTCGCTCACTGTTTCTAACTCTATACTGCTAAATAAATATTTACCTTCAGGCTACCAGATGGACACAAAGTTACTTGGCCTGTGCTTTAGCTTCATTGTTGGCTCACAGTCACATTGTGTAAGTAAATTGAGTTCCTAGAAACTTCACTTGTAAGTATATAACTGTCTTGTTTTGGCCTGTATCACAGCCCCAAATTCATTTCCACTTTGGAGCCCAATGAGGATAAATGGTCACGTGGATATTCGGCATTCTACTGTAATGTTTTCATTTGATATAGTGCCTAGAATATCAAACCAACTCAGAGCACTTCACAGTTACGGCTGTAAAGTGTAGCGAATGTACATTTAGTGAGCGAACATGCCAGCAGTTTAGTGACGGCAAATCCCAAGAGCAAACAAGAAGTGAATGAGCAAAATATCTGGAGGATTATTGACCAGAGCACTGGGAGATATCCCTTCTATGATTTGAAGTGAGAATAGGAAGAATTTTCATGTGCAAGTGATGTGATGGTGAGTTTAGATAGGATTTATATAAACTTTGTCTTCATAAATGAACAAAACATTGTCCTTTTAAATACCTAACATAGGACTATAAACTAAATAGTAAAACTCCAGTCTCATGGTTCACCAATTAGAAGACTATGAATGTATGTTTTCAAACATAATAAATAATACTTGAAAGATGTGTGAAATCCTGTAAATAATGTCATGATCAGGAGGGGTTGAGCTCAGTGCAGAGAGTTGTTTAGATTCATAAAGCAACCCAGTGTGTTTTGGCTCCTTTCCATCCAGCTCTCACTGTGCTGGGGGACAGCTGACGTCAGAGTCTAATTGCTATAGTACAGAGTCTGACTGAGTTCGTGGCAATCACTATCTTACTTAAAGACAAAAGAAGCATCTCCTGAATCTTCCTGATTCTAATGCTAAGCATGTGACCATGACCACTGGTGAACTGGAGAGTACTCGGAGTTTGGTGGTGGTGATAACCTGTGAGTATTTAGGAAGATTATTTACTTGTGTCTTTTGCTGTGTGTTTATTTCAGAAATCATCAGCTTTCAAGTGGCTCTCAGTTTAGCACGTCCTTGAGTTCCGATGGCAGAGAGGTATCTCTCAATTTACATACGTTTGCTCTTCTGAAATGCTTGCTCTGACCTGCCACCAAGTGGGAAATATACAGCTCTTGATTCCACTAGCACCTGTGATAGAGGTAATAATAATCCTTGTATTTGGTATAGCGTCTTTCAGGTTAGGAAGTCATCGCAAAGTGCTCCACAAGGTAGACTGTAAAGTGGAGTGACTGTGTTTTGTGGGCGAACACTAGATATATGCTGTGTTGTTGATCAATAATAGTGTGACTTGTAAAAATACAGTACAATGTGTGAATTTGTGCCATCTGTTAGTTTACTTCTATAAGTATCCTGCAGTTCTGTAGCTCTGTGCTTTGAGCACTCGCAAGCGAGAGACCTGGGTTCAATTCCTGGCAGGGTGAAACTTTGGGCAAGTTCCCTTATTCCACACGCTTCCGTTTACCTATCAGTAAGTAGGAACCCGGTTGTTAATCAATTGGCGGATCGCTTTTCTGGGGGTAATGATTCCTTTTAAAAAAAATGGTCACTCAATCTACGACTGTTCGTGGGACACTGCTGTGCACAATTGGCTGCTATGTTTTGCCCACAAAATATACAGTTAATTTACTTTACAGTATATTCTAAGGTGCTATGTCACATGCAAGGATTATTATGATTATTATTATTTATTATTTAATTATAAGTTAAATTTTCATGTGCTCAGTCTGTGGAGCTCAATTTTTAATTTTTTTAAACAAATTTTAATTTATCTTCTTATTTGTCCTCCTGATTTCACGGTTACCTTCACTCCTTTTCTGAAGGTGTGAATGGTAGCACAAGACAATCTTCATGAGCCTACTAGTGAGTGATTATAAGAGTAAGAGTCAGTTGAGTTTAGACTCAGTGAGTGGAACACAGCGATGTATTTCCTGACCAGCAGAGGGCGAAACTTGGACTACAATTTTCTTTCCCCTGTGTTAACCAAGGAGGCTAAAAGGAATTGCTGTGGCCCTACCAACATTGCCAGCCGATACTGACTGCAATTGAACCTGGAACTTCCCTGTTCCGTATGGCTCAGCAACCCACATCACAGTGCGGGTTTATTCACTGAGCCATGAGAAAGGGAGGGAGAAAGTTTTTTTTCATAGGATATAAAATCTAACATCTCATGGAGTTTAGATGCTGTTTGTAAAGTATTCTGGGTCCACTGTTGTGTTCGAGTATGTTTGGGACTGGAATATAAAAGTCAAGAAGTGTATACAATACTGGTCAGACCCCGTTTGATGTATCGTGTGCAGTTTGGGGCACCAAACCTCAGGAAGGATATATTGGCCTTCGGGAGCGTGCAGTGTTGATTTACTAGAATGATTCCTGGTGTCAAAGGCCTAAATTATGATGAAAGGATGGAAACGTTTGATTATATTCACTCAAATTTAGAAGGGTGATGGGTAATCTGATTGAGGTGTATAAAATTATAAAGGTATTTGATAGGCAAAATAATGAGCGATTGTTGAGAGAATTGAGAATTAGAGACCATAGTCTTAAACTTGAGGTTAAACCATTTAATGTGAAATAAACAATTTTTTAACAGTGGGTGGTGGTGAGTGTGGGATTTACTCCCCCAGAAGTTAGTGGAGGCAGAGTCGATTGAAAAATGTAAAAGGCGAATAGATAACAGGGATCGGGGGGTATGGAGAGAAGATGGGGAGGTGGAACTGGTTTATGGATTGGCCATGATCTTGGAAAGTTTTGTGACAGACTCGATCAGCTGAATGGTGTACTCCTGTTCCTGTGTTCCTTTGTTTCTTGAACCCCTGGGATGAATAACACAACTGTTGTAATTAAATGCCTGTTTCCCATCACTTTCCAAAAGCCACTCCTTTCCAAAAGTGTCTCCTTTCAGGAATACAAAGGAATAATAACAACTTGTATTTATATAGAGCCCTTCACATAGAATAATGTCTTGGAGCTCGTTGGCAGTGGAAGTATTCCAATAAACAGTCAAAGGAGAGAAGAAATAGCGTGAAGCAAAGAGCGAGACAACAGAAAAGACAAAAACAAACTTCAATAGAGGAAGGCAAAAGATGCGAAAAAAAATTGTCAGGGGAGGAACCAAATTCCTTTGCTGCAGAAAAAGCCAAGAATAGAAGACTCCAATTCAGAGTGGATTCTTCAAATTTGTCTGATATTAGCACAGCATCTGTGCTGCAAGATAAATTAGTCCAGTTTCCAAACTTTAAAACTGTGGCATGCTATTTTGTTCCTACCAGGTGGGGTCTGGTTTTAAACAAAAAATAGTTGCAGAAAATGAATTCTGCTCTACTGCATAATCCAACCTACTGCATTTCTGTGCGACACAACCTTTGCCCTAATAAGCTCCACAAGCTTGTCAACCCCATACTTGCCATCTTCACTGGCTCCCCATCCCCCAGAGAATTGAGTTTAAAATCCTTGTCCTTGCCTCCAAAGCACTCTATGGTCTTGCTCCATCCTACCTCTGTGACTTCCTCAAATCAACCTGACCTACCAATCTGTCCACTCCCTCGGCTCAACGGGTACTGATCTGCTCCATGTCCCCCACCCTATCCGCTCCACAATTGGTAGTCGGGCCTTTAGCCTTTCTGCACCCACTCTCTGAAACTCCATCCCAGACCGCTTCTGCCTTGCTCCCTACCTTGCCTCCTTCAAGGCCCATCTTAAGACCTTCCTCATCTCAACACCTTCAGTCATCTTCCCCCTTGCCTGCAACACCTTCCTGACTCCAGCCCACAGCTCGGGTGCAAACCCTTCACTGTCCAGCACCTTGGGATGTAATCCCAATATGAAAGATGCTTTATAAATGCAATTTGTTGTTGTTGTTGCTGCTCCATTGTGTTGCTGAGGACACAGGTTGAGCGTTGCAAAGGCCAACTTCAAGACAGACACCAGCAAATATTTCTTTACCAGAGAGTAATTAATGACTGGAACAAGTTACTGCAAAGGGTAGTTTGAGGCCAGGACAAATCGATGCTGTGATGGGAGAAAGGTAGGTGGATGTTTTCGAAGAATGAAATTGGATGGGCCTAAGGGGATTCTTCATCTGAGCTGATCATGTGATCATTTGAACTGTCCTCCTCATTGGGGAGTAGATATGGTTCATACTGCAGAAAACGGAGGTAATTCATATTCCCATAGCAATCTCTGATTTTTACCATAAAAACAGGATATTACAGATGTACACAGATGTTAGAGAGACAAATATTTGGCGTGAGAGGGAAGCAGATGGAACAGGAAAAGGTCAATCATAGGGAAAGATCATATGGGACCAGGAAAAGGGAATACCTCAAACCAGAATGCCATCAGGTCCGTTTTCCATATCCCTCCCCATATTTCGAGGTAAAATCCCATCAAATATTAGAAGTCCCATAAAGATTAAAGAACTGGATTACAATATTAAACTCAGTGTGAGGCATCTGTTAAATATTGACAAATGTTTAATTTCAGACAATGTAATACTTTGCAGCACAATAACAACTTGAATTTATAAAGTGCCCTTTACATAGGATAAGGTCTTGGAGGCTGTACTTTGCAGCTCAAGTACACAGTGTGATAGTTGCATGGCTGTGGGACGATTGACTCCTGTCCTCTTTCTTCACCTCCCACACGCCCCACCTGACACATACAAGTTCATTCTCACCCTCGGACACATCACTGTTGAGAAATGTGAGCAAAGAAGATTAAAGAGAGAGTCCTGTTCTCACACAGGCGCCAGCAGCTGATTGGGTGTGATATTGGTAGGTGTCTGGGAGTTAGTCTTCAATGCCTGGGGACGAGCGAAATAAATATCTAGACAGAGCTGAATTGCAGACTAATCACAAAAATAATTACCTTTCTGTTTTTCAGGCCTCCAACATCTTGAACTATTAAACTGAATTCTGAGTCCTGTTTTTGAGATTTTGATGCATCAACTCAACTCCGCCAGACCGGCCTAAGATTCCTCCAACATCACAGAATTTTGATGGAAAATTGTCTAGACTACAGTGAGTGAACACTGCAAGGTGAATTTTGTTCACTTGAGCAGGTTTTGCTGACATAGTCAAAATGAAGCATTACTGGGAGCAGCAGACACTTGGGTTCTTATTGCTGTTGTGCCTTTGGAAATGTACTGGATCTTCATTCGTGGAAGTGAATCGTGGCATGAGAGTGCCGAAGGGGCAGTCTGTGTTCCTGGCAGAGGAGGACCTGCAATTCAAGATCCCCAAGGAGAAAGATGCCTGCAAGCTGGAGGTAGTCATCAATGAACCTATTACACAGCGAGTGGGGAAGCTGACACCTCAGGTAAGGTGCACCTGTGGGCTTAAATAGTATAAATTGTGTTAGAGTAAAACCCCACTATTTCTACCAGGTAGATTCATTATGGCACAATTTGAGAGTATGGACCCTAATGTTTGCTTATCAAAAAGTCCAGAATATGCTTGCCGCTCCTTCAGCACTCCAAAACCAGCAGCCAGGGTGCAGGGAGATAAACAATGGCTGACTTTCAGGTAGTCAGGAGGTTACTGGAGTCACTTCCTGTGTACTATGCTTTGAAGCACCTATGCAGAAGTATTGACTGACAATCCCGCCCCTTTATAGCCCTGGATGGAATTTTATGAACAGCAACTATTCGTAATAATGGTGCTCTACCGTAGTAGTTTGACTGCTCCACATCCCCTATTCTTTTCATCCCACCATCAGCTGGTGGACTTTCAGCCACTTGGTACCTTCTTGCTAGTATTTCATTCCCAGACCCCTCTGACATGTTCCCTCCCTCCCCTCTTTCAAGGCACATCTCAAAATGTACCTCTTTGATCACGCTTTCTCGTACTCGTCCCCGTGACCTCCCACCCTCGGTTCTGGTGCCGAGCCAGAATTGGCAAGCTCTTTGGGACATCCTCCTGACATGAAAGGCTCCATATAAGTGTAAAATGTATTGTATTGTTTAGTCTAACTATTGCATATTTTGGAGTTTTTAAACCATACCACTGGGAGCAGAAACAACTATCTGAACTATGGTGTTTTTTCATACCGAGATACCGCACATGGTAAGACACATTTGGGATTGTAGTTCTACATTTTGTGTATAAATATAAATGTGTAGTCTTATGTCGGTAAGAGTATATTCCTTGTATATTTTACCAGAGCACATTATGAGGTTTAAAAAGCAGTTTAATGTTGTGGTGGGAAGGTGGGGTGGTTCTGGAAGAATAAGGCAAATGAGCTGAAGGGCCTTCTTCATCCAGGCTAATCTTGTGAGCTGTGCACTTTGTTTCGAACATAATAAAATGGAATATAAAGTGTGAACTAAATTCCTGCCTATTTATATTTAACTGATGTTCAGGTCTTCGATTGCCATTTCCTTCCCAATGAGGTGAAATACACCCACAATGGCTGTCCCATCCTGAACAAGGACCAAGTCATGCTCAGACTTTACAGGCAAGTAGTGAAAATACTTATTTTTAATATTTAATGCGTCTAATTAGTTTTTTTTCTTATTTTCTCCCCATTGCCATCACCTCTGTGCTCCTGGACTGGCCTTGTCTTGCTGGGCTTCAGTTCCACGGATGCTGGTTGCCTTCTGGTGCCCTGCCCAAGTGTCCCCCGGCCATTGTTGATGTGGGTAAATTTGGCGCTAATTGTCAGCTAATTTTCAAAAAAGTGATCTTTAACATCCACCGAAACAAGCAGGCAGGACTTGGTTTACCTTCTCACCTGACACATGGTACCTTTTACAGTACAGGATTCACCCAGCACTGGAAATTCAGCCTAGACTGAGTCTGAAGTCCCGACTTGGGGCTTGAATGCATCCATTTATCATACAGTGACACATGGCTATAGCAGTGTGTTCTGCTTCCAGCTTTTATTTTGAGCTACCTTTGTGTGCTTTGTCTGTGGCTGCAGGTTTACAGAGACGGAAACCTTCACTGAAACATTCATTCTCAGCATTCAGCTACTGGAGTCTGACTGCAACATCATCCGCCTGGGTTCAACACCACTGGAGGTCCCTGAGTTTTACGATTTATCCAACTCCATCGATAGGAACGTACTTACATTCCATTACGACAAGTCAATGAATCTTAACTGCACCGTACGAGTGGCCACTTCAGAAACTCTTCTTCCAGGATATGGAGAGCTTGTAATAGGAAAGCTGCCAAGAGGAGAGGTCTGGGGTGACCAGCCACACAGCTTTGTACGGATCAGGCAGAAGTCTAGTAAGCTGACTGATTTTGTGACATACATTATTCAATGTAATTTGGCCGAATAAAACTATAGTGGAAGGATCTTAATCGACTTTCAATGCCAGTGCCTTTGTTTTCAACCTAATTCAGGGAAAGGAAATCAAATACTCATTACAATGAGGCAAATTGAAGGACCACAGGAAACCAGCAACAGTAATCCCAGTGGAGCCCACAGGAACCTTCAATGAGATCAACCTTTGCTGGCATCTGACTAACCAAAGCTTGCCACCTGTGAGCCTCGATCCAATGCTGCAGACTCAGTTTCTCAGAACTTCTCACTGAGAATAGCGATGTGGGGGGAGAGAAAGAGGGCTGGAGGTCTAAGTGAAACATTCATTAGAGAGGTACATGGCGTGCATAGAATCATAGAATCTTACAACATAGAAGGAGGCCACTCAGCCCATCTTGCCCGTGTCAGCTCTTTGAAAGAGCTATCCAACTAGTCTTACTTCCATGGGTCTACATCTGGCTCTATTTGACTTGCTTAATTGTGGCCCACCACATTGTTTACAATACCTACCTGAAGGGAATGAGATCCAATCAGCTAAACATGGTTAAAGCAAGTTCATACAATTCCTCAACAAAAGTATGAGGTGGAGATGCCATATTCCAACGTCCTATCCAGCAGAGGTGGATTATTCCCTTTCCTAGTTCAGGATCTCTGAGGGATAATCGTAGCTTTGCTCCTGACACTGCCTGAGATCAGCTAATTCAGTGAAGGTTCAGGGATTAAATATATGATTCAATTCCACAATGGGCACTGGCTTTAACAACTTAGCTACCAGGGAAATCTCAACTGTATGTTAATAGGAATAGGTAAATGGAATTAGAGGAGATAGCTCTCGTGGGGGAGCTCACACCAGATTTCTGAGCAGAAAACGATAGGCCAAATGTAGGGTTCTGGTATTTATTGTACATTCAAACTTAGTAACTCCTTCAAGCAGATTCTTTCAGTAATGTAGGTGTAATCATATTGATTGTATTTCAAAAACATTAGCAACTTCACTGAAGTTTTACATGGTTTTATGCTGATTGGTTCTTTGTTTGACAAGACAATCTAACCTGTTTTGTAGAAAAGGGGCACCAAAGTTGTAAGAAATGCCAATGTAGCAATTTGGTCAAAATGTATATTTAAAGGGAAAAACAAAACAAAAATTCCACTCTCTCAGGACCAATCCTGACACCATTGTCAAACCTGCTGACAAGGGAGGTGCTGTCATAGGCTGGCGGAAGGACCTCTACCTGGCGGAAGCTGAACGCCAATTCTCTGACAACTCCTCCTACCTCCCCCTGGACCATGACCCCACAACTGAACACCAAGCCATCATCACCATGACAGACAATGACCTCATCTCCTCTGGGGAGATTCCTCCCACAGTCTCCAACCTTATAGCGCCCCCAGCCATGCATAGCCCACCTCTGGACTCCACTTTTGCTCCTTTTGCCCATGCCCTACCTACCTACATCCGTGATTCTTCTGACACCCTCCGCTACTTCAACAATTTCCAGTTCCCTGGCCCTGACCGTCTCCTATTTACAATGGACGTTCAGTCCCTCTAAACCTCCATCCCCGGCCTGCAGGCCCTCCACTTCCACCTCAAACAGCGGCCTAACCAGTCTCCATCCACCATCACCCTCCTCCACCTGGTTGAGCTTGTCCTGACATTGAACAACTTCACCTTCAACTCCAAAACAGTTTCTCCAAGTAAAAGATGTCACAATGGGAACCCGCATGGGTCCGGGCTACACCTGTCTGTTTGTTGGCCACCAGGAACACTCTTTGTTCTGGACCTACTCAGGTCCACTCCCTGACCAGTTCCTCAGGTACATCGCCGACTGTGTTGGGGCTGCTTCCTGCTCTCGCAGTGAGTTGGAAAAATTCACCCATTTCACTTCCACCTTCCACCCCTCCATAACGTTCACATGGTCCATCTCTGACTCTTCCCTTTCTCGACTTCACTATTTCCATCTCAAGGCATAGATTATCAACAGAACAGCACCTCATTTATCTGCTAGGGACCTTGTAGCCCTCTGACCTCAATAATGATTTCAACAATTTCAGACCATAACAGCTCCCCCTCCCCCTCTTCTGTGACCATTACCACTCATCTGCGTCCCAGACAGACCTTTTCTCTCCCTGATCTGCCTGTTTTGCTGCAAGTTCTTCACCCCCTTTTATTTTGCATCATTAACACCTCTTTAATCCATCATCTCCTGTCCTCTACCCCATTTTCTCCTTTGTCTTCCTTGTTCTGACTCCCCCCCTCTCTGTTAGCCCTTAAAAGCCTCTCCCTCCCAATATGCCCCAGTTCTGAGGAAGGGTCGTGGACCCGAAACGTTGACTCACTTTCCTTTCCCCATAGATGCTGCCTGACCTGCTGAGTGTTCCCAGCGACTTCTGTTTTGTTTCTGTACATTTAAAGGGATTCATCCTATTATGTGTACATGTGGTAAAGGTTGCTACACTTAGTAGCAAGAACAATTTTACTCCCCACAGAAACTAGGCTGGATAGGAAAGGTTCCAAAAATGGAAGTTGGATATATGAGACCTTTAATCTTTAAACAAAATATAGTCAAAATGCAAGCACTGTTCATTAAATCAACACAAATAAACCAAAGAATCTAATGACTGATCATGATTGTTTCTCACTATTTGACTTTGGAAAGTAAAGGTAATGGTGGTGGCACTTTGCTATTGAGAGTGCTTGTAATGCTCATGACCCCAGCTGACCCCAAGGTCACAGAGCATGAGTGAAATAACTCACCCATAAATAATCTCTTAGCTCACACTCGTGTAATTCTCAGTAATAAAACCCCTCATTAAGCAGTGGCTTATAACTGGTGCACTCTGACCTGTATGGGCTATGAACAAATAGTTTCTGGTGCTCTCCACAAGCCGACAAAGACCTTAGTGCTAATTAGTCAATGAGGGCCCCTTACAGGCGAAATACATGATGGGATGAATGCTGAAGTGTCCAAGCAGAACACACACGTTGCTCTTTTGCTTTGCATGAATATGTAAAACTTTAATGCCATGGCTCTTCTCTGCGGTCCACCAAAATAGTATTAATTAACGTTCAACCAGATAACACTAACCATAAGGATTCATTGGGATAAATCATTGTAAATCTACTGGGAGCTTGATGAGTGCTTTTCCACAAAACGCTTTGCTCGCGTAATGGGATTGATGGCTGTGATTTGTAGGTGCTCTATTTATCAGGACGTTTTTGTCTTATGTCAGAATGGAGACTAGGATCAAGCCACGAGGACCTCAAGCAGATTCATACATTCAAAGTGAGCTGTGACGAATTCCTTATGATGGGACTTCGCTACCACCACCTCAGTCCCCCTTCTCCTGATGTAGACTACATTGCAATTGGCTTGGAACTTGTTGACAGCAGAAGCAAAAATGTGCACAAGGTAAATACAATTCCACAGAGGCCAGGGGTTCACTTTCTTTTGTGAACCTCTCATTATAATAGGTGTTGAATATTGTATTTTGTGTTACAAGGTTATGGTTTTATGAACTTAGATAAAATCCAGCTATGACTTAACCCCATCAAATACTTTTGAGGCATCCTCCTGACATGAAAGGTGTTATGGAAATGTTATTGTATATTCCATTGTATTATAAATTAATTGACTTGCAGAGAATAATATATTTCTCTTTAGTCCATTCCTATTCCCCAAAGCCTTGCCAAGATGGTAAATTGACTTAAATGTTGAGAGAATTGCCTTACCAGGAGGAGATAGCTTTGTTGGGTCAGATGGGTGTCTGACACAATCAGAAACCCCTCCAAGATCACCATAATGGGTTGACTCTGACATTCCATAGCAAAGCATAAGGTCACCTTGGAGCCAGCTCAGTTCCAAGGAGACTCCTTTATTTCCAGGATAGTATCAAGCTCAGCTATGGTGAGGGGACCAGGGCCTCAGCGTACCAGTAAGTAGTCAATACCCTGCTCTGTTTAGCTGCTTTTCCCCCTTACACTATTATATTTCTTCTTTGGAAAAGGAGAGCCTTGGAAAACTGAAAAATACAAGTGAATGCAAGACTGCAGTAAGGAATTTGTGTTACTAAATGAATTATTCAACTCTAATGTAATTGATGTTCAGAATCATTTTCCTCTTCTTAGTTACTTAAAGCAACAAACTATCACCCAAGCACAGTGCTGCCAGTGGTAATGGTGAGACAGGGAGTGGAACACAATATGGGGTATTTCTTGTGTTTGTGTGACATTCATCCAGTATAGTCCTGTTACATAACCAAATTTACTTGCCTCTGATGGCATCTTCAGGATATTAATAAATACAAGGGACAGGAGGCTTACCAGTACCTTCCCCTGAGGTACCCCATTTATTACCTCTTCCGAATTTTGACCAAACAACTACCTGCTGCTTCCTTCCCTTCAGTCAATTCTAAATGCAGGTCAGGAGCAGCTCCGCTGGATGTATTGTAAAACATTGTGTATTTTGTGGACAAACACTGTAGGGATAAGTAAGATTTTAGTTTAAAAAAAATGTAAATCAGGGTGTATTGTTTCTTTTGTTTTAAAAACAAAATTGCATTAGATTGAAAATGTAAGTCGAAAAGCATTATGTTTGAATGACTATGTAAGTGTGACGTGTGGTAAAAGTTTCTTTAAAAATAACTGAGTGTAAGCTCTGGAAAAAAAACATTTTCTGTTTTTAATGCAGTGATGTTGGATTTTGTGTGAAATTCCTTCTGTAGCAGAGCAATTTGCATTTCCCTGTCTTTCTCTTGCAGACAGAGAATATTTGGATCCCAGTCAGAATCAGGAATGCTTTTCCCAACCAACCCCCAAAGGCCACTTTCATGGCTATGTTCATCCTGGAGGTGGATCAGTTTATCCTGACTTCCTTGACAACGGGGACCTGGATGGTGAGGATAGCGAGACCCCTAAGGCCCAGCTTGTGTTCAATGTAACCAGACCACCTCCGCAGGGCTACATCACTCACTTGTCCGACCACACCAAGCCAATCACGTCATTCACCTGGAGCGACCTGAATGAGCTGCTCATAGCATATCAGCCCCCAAACAGCAGTCACACTGAGAGAAGGAACTACGAGGTAGGTTGTGTAACATGCCAGTGAGCTGCTGGCTGAAGTGAAGTACCATTTTCCCTTTTGAGAGTCTCCCATTCTCTTTGTGTTCTGCCTTTTGATAAATACTTTGCATAGGAATTACAGTACTTCAGCCCACTCATGTCATGGGTTACATTAATGTCCCATGAAGATTTTGTTGGGAAACCCCTTTACTTAGAAAAGAATAAACTGAGAAAGAGATGAGCTCTTTCTACAAAACTATAATAATAATCCTTGTATTTGATATAATACCTTATCAAGCCTTCACAGCATTTACAGCAATTTTTTAAATCTGTAGTGACTGTATTTTGTAACCAAAACTAAGATAAGGTCTGCTCAATAGTATGGAGCAAAGCTTAAATCCTTTGCTGCAATAGGTCTCGTCTGACTGTTGGCTAACTTCAGGATTCACTACCCTCTGTTCTGTCGAATCGATTTCCACAGAACCTTTTGGTCAGTCACGTGCTTTACAACAAATGTCTTCTAATTCCTGCACATTATTGATTCCCAATTGAACAGCACAAACTAATTCTCTCTACACTTACAGTTATCTTATTACATTCCGGTTACGTAAATTATATTTTAATATTAATAGCCAGTTCATGTTTTAATATTAAAGTGGCCATGATCCTTTTGCTGAGAAAGAAAAATATAAGAGCCTTTAAGTTTTTGTTTCCTAATGTCACTGTGCAACACAATGTCATTTGCATATTATGTTATAATCTTTAACAAGGAAGCTGGTCAAATTTTTCCCTCTCTTTCCCCCCCAGCCCCCTTCTGCCCATGTATTTCTAAGTGATTTCTCCTTTTACCCTTTCCACACTGAATCTAGGAACAAGCTGTAGGAAGTATTGGAGCTCCGGTACCTCAGTCAAATGCAAATAAGAGTTGAGCCATTCAATTGAGCCAGGATCTTGGATAGCTTTTGTTTAAAACTGTTTTTAGTTTTATAATATTAGTTGCAATTTATTCATTGGAGTCGAGAGATTAATTTTTCTATGATACTGTAATTTTTCAAACCTTACAAGGATTTTATAAAGAATGTACAGCACGAACACAGGCCTTTCAGCCCAACCAGTCTATGCTGATGTTTGTACTCCATATGAATCTCCAACCAAGAAACTATGTACCTTCTTTGTCCCATTCTCCAGCAGTAGCATTAGAACAGAATAGGTGGATTGGCCTCACGGATTGGGCATTGAGTGTGCTGTATGTGATCTGAAGAAACCACTCTTTAACTGGAATTTCCATATATGTCCAGCTTGTTTAATCTTGTGCTGAACTCTACTCTTCAATACACAGAATGTCACAGAATACACTACACAAATGTCAGCATATTCCAGCCATTCTTAGCTTCCTCTGATGGGTGCTGAAGCTGTTGATCTCTGTATTAATAATAAAAATAATCCTTGCAATTGGTATAGCGCCTTATCACGTCTTTGAGACATCTCAAAGCACTGTACTGAAGCTTTGACATCGACTGTGTGTTTCCCAAACAGGTAGAGTTCGAAGTTCACGACTTCTACTTCAGGAACAGTGCACCAATTTTGGTGCATATCTCAATAAGGACGGCTGATACCAACTCTCCCAGAGTATCCTGGAACATGGGTGAGTTTGTATCTGGTCAAACTCCCCCATGTATAATCAAGATGTTTTTTGGGGGGTGTGGGGGGAAGAGACAAAGAGGCTTTCAATTTCATAGTTGACCCCATACTCTTAACCTTAACAACTCTTAACAATACTCCAAATAAAATTCCTCATTCACTTCATCACTGTTTGTGGGATATTGCTGTGTACAAATTGGCTGTCTCATTCTCGCACAAAACGTATGACTTTACAGTATATCTTGTGAATCGCTTTAGGGCATGTGAACGCCACTAGACCCAATTCTTTTCATTACTAAACAGTTGTTGCAAAAATTTAAGATGACATAGAATTTTGGAAAATTCTTAAATTCAGTCTTAATTAAAAGTCGTTTTCCCACGCTTTTTTAAAAAAGTGTGAGGAATTCTGGGCCTCTAATGTCACAAGTTCATTGCATTTAATCCCTTGTTGCTTAAATCTATCATCAGGTTTCCTTGTTGCCTTCTCCTGGTTGCTAGTACAAAGATCTTCTCCACATCTAACTAGAACCTGCAACCAAAAATGTGGTTTTGTTAAATTAATCCACAACTCATACAGTGCTCATGGTAATGAGAAATTCTGTCCTTGGTTTTCCTGGCTTGAGTTTTTATGCTGGTTATTTCTTTGTCTTTAGGACTTAATCTACTGGAAGGCCAGTCCCGATTGATTACCTGGGAGCAGCTCCAGATCGTGGACAATGATGACCTCAGTGCTGTCCGTCTGATCACTGTGGAGGGCCTGCAGCATGGACGACTTACAGTAAGAGGTTAATGTCCATTCAGGAAGTTATTAACTCTGTAATAACTTTGCATAGTTGTGACAATAACTAACATGATCTTACTTAGACTGAGAACCCATCAAAGCATGTGGTCCAGGCTGAGGTTCCAATACTCCACATGAAAGCATTCCAGAGAATTTGCTTTGATTATTGTCAGATAGATCCAACACAGGAAAGAGATGAGCTATTCATTTAGCCCTTGAGCTCCAGCAATGCGATTACTGGGTTGAACAAATCTAGGTCACCATCTGCTGCTATCCAGATTGAGGTTTCTGCTTCAGTTTCATATGAGCAGAGGAAGAAACAACAAGGAATCTGATCTGTTGGATGTTATTGCAATTAGGCCAATATCCTGTTAATGTGTTTCCAATGTCTGAATCACAGTAATTAAGTTAAGCCATCAGACAGTGAAACCATGCTTTAAATTGAGCTTTGTGAAAGATATGGTTGCATGGCCTGTGCTTGTTTGGGGCTAGGTAGTTTGCTGAATAAGTCATTAATTTACGAGGAGGATTTGGGTGAAGCAAGAGGAGCCACATTCCAGCTAAATTATCCAACAAGAAAGATGAGAGCAGAGTGTGGGCTATGTCACCGATTTGGTTGTTTTGCTTACTACTGTAATATTACATATGACACATGCACACACTGGAGGGTCACAATTCTGGTACACAAATACTGAAAGCGTTAATGCCAGTATGGTGTGTGTGGGGGTGAGGGGGGGAGTTGTACTTGGATATTCCAGGGAGGTAGACATCTTTTCTAGCCCTGCCCAACAAGTGGAAAGTGGCACAACTACAAAGACCATCTGATGTGCAAGTGAACATTGCCCTTGGCACTCCTCGAAAAGAGAAAGGAGCCAATAGCCAATAGTTCCACCCTCCCCCCAAAAAAACTGATCATTTGTTTCATAACTATTTCCAGACATCGCTATGCACCAATGTGCTGCCACGTTCACTTGTGTATTGACTACAAATACACAGTCACTGCACTTCATGGTGAATCATGTGAAACGCTTTGAGATGTCCTCCGGACCATGAAAGGCAATATACCAAATGCAAGGATTATGATAGTTGTTTAAAAATATTAAGTCACTGAGATATTTTTTATAATGGAAACCAACATTAGGCTTATGACAATCGTTGTGACCATCAGTCTAAAACAACATCAATAAACTGCAAACGGTTTTTGAAGGCTGAGGATCATTAGCGTTAATAATTGGTAGTAGATGTCTCAAAAAAGTGTAATGTCCTCTGACTCCCACCGCTAACTGGCATCACGTGTTGTAATTTCAGATGGAAAAGGTTTCATTTTTACTGTCAGCGACATCAAGGCTGGTGCCGTTCGGTATCATCATGACGACAGTGATACCACAAAGGATTTCATAACTTTCCGAATTTTTGATGGTCATCATAGTACCCGGCACAAATTCCCAATTAATATCTTGCCGAAAGATGACAGTCCTCCATTCCTCATCAACAACGTTATCTTTGAGCTGTGTGAAGGCCAAACAATTCTGATCGAGAGATTTATGCTTCAGGCCTCGGACATGGACTCCAGTGATGACTACATTCTCTTCAAAATCACCAAATCCCCTGAAGCTGGAGAAATCATGAAGAAAACAGCTCCCGGAATCACAGGTATTGTGGCTGGGCTTGTGGGTGTTGCCAGGCTGGCAGTGTCTAAACCAGACTGAAAATTGAAAGACACAATGTGATTGTTGAAACCATCACAGAAAACTCTGCCCATTCGATGCTCAGCTATAGGTTTAACTGCCTTTCCTCCTCCCCTCCCAACTTCATGAAAATGATTGGGCCCTAACTTGCTTGCAGCAACCAGTGGACTTGCCAGCTCATAGAGCAATGTGTTTAAGTTCTGGTTCCTGAACATCCAACCCCAGCACCGTACAGTACTTCATGACTTTATCCTTTATGAAGGGCACTAAATCAATCCAAGTTGCTGTTGTTGAGAACACTATCTTAACTAAACTGAAAACTCGAGTTAGATAATTATTATCTATAGTGATGATATCACATGCCACAATTTTCACCCCAACATCCGTTTCAAATATTTCCAGGGTCTGAGCTGTGGGCATGCGTGTTAGTATATTATAGATGCTCTCAATGCTCTCTGTACTCTGTTCCAACAAATGTAATAGCTCAGCCTTCATACTATATGAGCCCTTATCCACAGAAATTGAGTTCATTATTAATTATTGGATCTTACAATTAATTATCTGAGAGAACTTTTCTGGTCAGGATTTGCATCGAGGTCAAAATGCACATTAAAGAGATTGTCAGGGTGTTGGATATCCATTAATTTACCAATAACTTCTATGTTTTGTAAAGTATAATTTTTATACAACTGTATAATTCATCCCTGCACGATAAATTGTAGATATTGTTGTGATATAGTCTATGTTGAAGCTCCAATGCAGTGCTGGGAGAGTTCTATGTTATTAGAGATGCCATCCTTTGGATGAGACATTAAACTGAGGTCCCGTGTGCCTGTTCAGGTGGATGTTAAAGATCCCATGGCACTTGCCGTAAAGAGAAGGGAGTTTTTCCGGCGTCTTGGCCAAGAATCCCCCAAATTAAAATTGGTCACTCACTTCATGGCTGTTTGTGGGACACTGCTGTGTGCATTTGGTTGCTGCATTCACCTACATACAGTAAATGCTGTGAAGTGTTTGAGATGTCCTCCTGATGTGAAATGCAAAGGTTATTGTTGTAAATCTATCCACGACTGTTTGTGGGACACTGCTGTGTGCAATTGGCTGCTGTGTTTAGCCCACAAAACATACAATCAATTCACTTTACAGTATATTCTGTGAAGCACTTTAGATGTCTAGAAGATGTGAAAAGCGCTCTTATCAAATGCAAGGATTATTATTGTTGTTATTCTGTCCTTTATTGCCAGGTTATCCTGTCAACCGGTTCCTGCAGAGGGATCTCTTTAATGCTGTGATCCACTACCGTCACCTAGGAGGAGAGGTGTTTGAAGACTCCTTTGAGTTCATTCTATCTGACAGCCACGACCCACCGAACCTCTCAGAACCCCAGGTATTTCTTAGTTTCCCATACCTCTTGTAATTTCTCAAATCTCTTCTAGATGTCATCCTGGCTCAGTCATTAGCACTCTTGCTTCTGAATCAGAAGGGTCCAAGACTTTCATTGGGACATTTGAGCTCACGAATGAGCCTGACACTCCAGCACAGTTCTGGGGGAGCTCTTCATTGTGAGAATTGCAGTTCTTTGAAGAGCACACCTTTTTTCCTCTGTTTAATTTAATAAAGGCATTAAATCACAAAAGCTAAAAGGTTGGCCACTTCTAAAAAGAATGTAACTTTTAAAAATTGGCAGGGTTAAAATAAATGTTGAATGAGCCGGAAAAGGATGATTTCACTTGCCTGGAGAGAGGTGCTGCACTGCTACCTAGTTGTTTAACATAAGAAATGCCTTTAAAACATTAAAACTATCATAAATTGTACAATACAAATTTATATAGTGCCTTTCGCTTTGAGAGGACTTCCCAAGATGCTTAATAATCTTGGCTTGGCGCCTAAGCTGGGGATGGCAGCCAAAGAGGTGGGGAGGGGGAAGATGACTGAAAGTGCAAAGTGGTAGATCTTGAGATGGATCTTGAATGAGGTGAGGGAGGGGTCGAGTCGGAAGGGCTCCGGGATGGAGTAGTGTAAGGCATGGTTGCACTGCTCCTTTACTCTTGTTTTTTTTCTTGTATTTACTTGACATTGTTTTTCTCTTCACTTTCTTATTTCTCTTTACATTATATCTTCTCATTATTTCCCATCCAGATCTGGAACATACTGATGGATTACATTACAAACTCTCACCCGTAGTCTTACATACCAGGGCTTTTCAGCTGGGCTCAGTGGGTTACGTACACCAGTGTATACAAATGCACTGCAGTCCTGGATCATGAAGATCTTAGACTGGCTCTATAAATCCTGTAAACACAGGAGTCACTGCCTGGAAATATCTAATTGGATTTTACCAAAAAGCCTAATAATGGCCACAAGAAGTCTCAATCCAAATGAGTCTTTCTTTCTCCACTGGCAACACATAAAAAGCCACAAAAATAGTGAGCTACACTGGTTATCTTTTGCTTGGCTGCCACTGTGGTATTTCATTCCTTTTTTATTGAAGTCTCATATAAAGATTTTCATAATAATCTAAATATACTTCCTCACTGTGGTGGAATACCATACCAACTGTGTATTAACACTTCTCCAAAGCAGTTATTATAGATTATCTATTGTTGACAACGTGAATGTGATATAAAGTTTCTCTAAGATCTAAAAACCCTTTTGAAAAGAGCATGGAGCCTTTTGCATCAAGTGTACATGAGAATGGAATATAATAATGTTCTTTGCATTTGATGTAGGACCTTATCACCTAGATGAGACATCTCAAAGCGTTTCACAGAATTTAGCATTGAGCGTAGTGACTGTGTATTTTTGTACATAAAGTAAGATGGGATGGGACTAAAAGGATTACTCTTTAAAGAGCCAGCACAGACACAATGGGCCAAATGGTCTTCATCTGTGATGTAAGGATCTATGGGATGAGTTGAAATATATACGATTGCTCCAGAGACCAGAGTGCAGAACTGTAACAATTTGGATTTAGGCCAACTTCAATGAATGTTGATTATATTTTTATCTTGAAGCCCAGATTAGTGCAGTTGGCATTCGTCTCTGAGATCTGCATTCAAATAGAACTGAGACTTATCTCTTCACTCCCCATCCTCGCCTGCCACCACAATTAGTATATAACAGTTGAAGTTGGTACTCATGATATTCGTATAATTTTTGTGCATTTATATTCTTTTAGGCAGTGATATTCTGGATATCTTGAAGCGAACTGTTCTAACCCAGTGAATTCTATTGCAGACGGTAATTGTGCACATAACCCCTGTGGATGACCAGCTACCCAAAGAAGTACCTGGCACTGTTCGGCAACTCGTTGTCAAGGAAACCGAGACATCATGCCTGACAAAGAAGCAGCTGCACTTCACAGACACAGAATCCCCTGACAGAGAGCTGATATATACAATAACAACTCTGCCATTCTTTACCTCCACTGTGGGGTAGGTGCATACAATGTGCAATCACGTACACATTGTGGTACTGTTAATATGTGCACATTGAGGGTTTAAAATGCAGTATTTGCTTACCAGACTTTGTGATTTCCAGGTTTGGTTTACAGTCTGTTCCAGGTTTGCCACTACACACCGAAATTGTGGAACACTCTTCCTCAATTCCTCTGCCTTACCCCCCCTCTCCCCTTTTTCAAGTCCCACCTGAAAACCTTCCTTTTCAACTGTGTTTACAGTCACCTCCATTCCCCCATCCCATCCCCGGCTCAGAGTCACATGGGGCAGCATCTCGGAGCACTTCAGTCCAAGAAGCATAGACAACATAATGGGAGGCCATCCAGCCCATTTCTTTGTGTCGGTGTTCACTCCTCCAAGAGGCCATCTCTGCTAATCCCAATTCCCTGCTCATTCCTGTATCATCTAATGCCCCTCCTCTGCATGTGTTTATCTAATTCACTGAGCCTTGGCAGGTTTCAGCATTTTTTTTCTCACCTTATGTTTTAGCAAATTCTTTAAGTTAATTTGCAAGAAGTGGTTGGTGATGCACCATTTTCAAACTCTCAGTGATGAATTCTTCATGCACTGTAGCTTTCCTGGGCCTATGTGTGAATAACCCTGAGACAGTGTAGTCAGTCTAGGCCAACTGTGAGCATTAGCTGAATGCAAGAAGCACACTAGACTGACTGATAGGTCATTGGTTTCTTTGGAAAACTTTGACCATTCAATTCACAGTCTTCTATTCCAGTGCTGATCCAGTAGTTATATATCCGGGTCAACCTTTCCCTTGGCAGTCCAAAGTGGGAACTTCCCTTTGCATAACGGCATGTCATTCTAAAGACGTAACAATGACCTAAAGTCACTGTGGGCATGACTACACCAACATATTGTCTGTGTGGAGTTCTGTGATTCCCTATAAATAAATAATCCTAATCATCCTTGCATTTGATGAAATGTTAAACAGAAGTCCCGTCTGCCTGTTTAGGTCAATGTTAAAGATCCCATGGCACTATCCTTGAGAAAGGTGTTTCTCCTGGTGTCCTGGCTGATAAATCCCCAAATAGAATTGATCATTTGTTTCATGGGTGTTTATGGGACATCGCTACATACAAATTGGCTGTTTAACTACAAATACACAATCACGACAATTCACAGTAAAATCCTGTAAGACGCTTTGACATATCAAATGCAAGGGTTATTATTGTGCCTTATCAACAGCAACAACTTGCATTTATATAGCGCCCCTCACGCAAGATAGCGTCCCAGAGAGCTTGACAATGGAGGAGCAAGATTATCACAGTGATGAAATGTCTCAAAGTGCTTCACAACATTTAATGTAAAGAGCTGTGACTGTGTAGTTATAGGTGAATGCAGCAGCCAATTTGCGCACAGCGATGTCCTACAAACAGCCAATGAATGACCATTTTTTTTATCTGGGGCCAGGACACAGGCAGAAATTCTGTTCTCTTTTCGAATGATGTCATGGGATCTTTCACTTCCACCTGAAAGGGCAGATTGTTATTAAAATGCCTGAAGTGTGACTGACTCTCCAGTAAGAATAATATCTTGAAAGTCCAATGTTCGCTGTATGATCACCGAAACTGTGTCAGTCCTGAACTGTCTCAAAAGCTGCATTGTCTGTATGAAGTGCTCGAGGCCCCGAGACAGGCATGTAAGGAAAATAATGGTGGCACTACTTGATATAAATTGTCAAGGGGATTCTGTATGATCGTGGCTTGGTTGATAGCACTCTTGCCTCTGCATTAGAAGATTGTGGGTTGACAGCGTATTTCTGGATTTAAGCTCAGAGTCTAAAATGACAATCTAGTGAATTATTTGGAGAACTCTGTATTGTCTGAGGCACTGCTTTTCAGAAGAGATATTAAACAGAACAAGCCAGTTTATTCAGGTGGATGTTAAAGATCCCATGGGACTATTTGAAAAGAGAAAGCAATTTTTCCTGACCGACAATCCTTCAAATAAATGAATCACTCAGCTGATGGCTATTTTCAAGCATGTGAAACTTTTTAATGTTATGGATGCTGTATCAAATGCTTAGCTTAATTAAAATTGCTGCATCAAATGTAAGGATTCGCATATTCCTGTAGGATTGTTTTTTATTTGTTGCTTATTCACTGTGCGAGTTGCTTTTAGCAGTTTAATATTGAGTGGTTTTGCGGAGTGCCCCAAGAGTGATTAGCATACGGCAACGGAGACAGTTTGAGTAATTGAGGAAGGTGTAACCAATTCTTTCCTTTCTTTGTGAAGCTTGCCTGATGCAGGGAAATTGTTTCTGACAGACAGCATGAACAAACTGAACAAAGATGCCAGTGTCCCAATGCTGAGGTCCTTCACACAGGTATTTCAACTCGCTTTTCCAGTATGGTTTCTTACAAAGATGACAAGTTAGGAACCCAACAAAAGTGTATCCCTCACAATTTTTTTGAGGTCCTTGCTCAGTATACATTCAGAATTTTTTCCCTACTTCAGGATCAAACCCATATCCCTCCTCAGTCTCATCTCAAAAGTTTGAACCTTTCTCCACTGACTCCCAACAATAACAACAACAGATTGCATTTATATAGCACTTCCATAACAGGAGGATATCCCAAAGTGCTGGATAGCGGAGAGTTCTGTCAAATTCCAGAAATTAACATAAGAGGTTAATGATACAGATGATGGCATATTTAGCATATCTGGACAATGTAAGTGTTGTGAAATTTTTCTGTGCATACATCATTCATTGAAGTGGAATATCTTTCAGTAGTGTGGAGCATCACCGACCATCCCTCTTCCATCCCCCTCATGCCCCCCACCAAGTGTGAAATAATTTCTTGTGATATTGTGCATTTAATTACACTTAGAGCGAAGTGCATAAGAATTTTTGAGTCAACTGGGTGTCTAACATATGCAGAAATCCATCTCTGTGCTTTCATGTATCCACACCAAACTGAGTTCTATACCTGCTTACCTAAATCCAGAGAGTATTAGGCACAGGTTTGCAAGGCTTGGGGACCCCAGATGGTCCATTGAGGTACTGCTGGAGTCTAACCAGCTAAAACCAGATAGTTTGCCATTGAAAGCACTGCTTGGCAAGCTTCCTATTATATATCCAGCTAGGATCACCCTATCCGTTGGAGGTTTGGTCTATAAGATTTACAGGAGCTGAGTGGGAAGAATCCCTATGTGTGCATTTTACATTGGAGTGGGTAAATGTTTCAATAGTATGGGCGCATCCCTCTCCTCCATCCCCCCTTCTCTCCCCTGAATGTTAAGTAATCACTTGTGCTATTTTGCGTTTAATCACAGTTAGAGCAAAGTGGTTCAAGGTAAATTTGTTGCTCACGTGTTGCAGTGGGGAGGCCTTGCAGTGGCAGAATGCAGGCCCAGATTAGAATGAGAGATTGCGTTGTGGGGTACACCTTCCCTTATACAGTGCAGAGGGATTCGTCAGAGGCTTTTTTCTCTGGTATTTTCACAAGTTCATTAAACATATTAGGTTTGATGAGAAAGTTGTTTCTTTCATTTTCAGATTTTGCTCCCTCCCACCTCCCCCCACACTATTTCCTCATCTGAAAGTTGTTGACTGATGCTGAGAAATGGTTTTATTAACCACTCACCCAAGATCGTGTCAGGAGACTATGCGACCATGGAGGTCATCATAGATGACCCTTTCCAGCACACCTGCACTTTTCAGTAGGGGTTCGCTGTTCAAGTATGAGGAAGTGGTTGCTTTTACCTCTGTAGCTATAGAGGTGCAGTGAGGCCAATTGTTATAGCCCCACTGCTGCCTCCAGCGGAGATATGTTTTCATTGTTTTGTATTTTAACTATAATTTTCAATGATTTATTTGGCTGCTGGAGCAGTTATTGTTCTAGTGTTTTATTTGATGCCGCAATGCAAAAGTTAGAACATCAGGGCAAAAAGTGGGGTACTCATCAGAGGTCAACCATTAGGTACAGGTAACATAGAAAGACATGTTCTTCTCTACTTTACAGCATGCTGTCAACTACCTGAAAGTAGCCTACATGCCTCCTGTTCAGGATATAGGACCCGACTCACAGCACCTTCAGTTTCACTTCTCAGTCAGCAATCAACATGGTGGAACTTTAATTGGCCTCTGCTTCAATATCACAGTTCTTCCTGTTGACAACCAAGCACCAGAGGTATGTTCCTTTGTTCAGGTTTCTAAAGCTGCCCATTTTTTGGTCCCATCTGCTGACATTGCAGTGTTTAACTAATGACTGTCTTGTATTTCTTGCCTCATGTGCTGTGAGGTGTAACAGTGGCATAATTAAAAGATTGTTTTTTTCCAGATCTACACAAACCTGCTGAGAGTGGAGGAGGGTGCCACATCTCAAATTACCGCGCATCACTTGCTGGTAACTGATATTGATACCAAAGAGGAGAATATCAGGGTGCTGCTACAGAGGAAACCAATGAACGGAGAGGTTGAAGTGGATGGAGTCATCATGATTGAAGGGGATATGTTCACCTTGAAAGATCTCAAGAAAACTAAAGTTAGGTTAGGACACGTTTTACATTAAATATGATGTAGCGTACAGTACAATTTACATTTATAAAACATCCTTTATGTACGGACCTTGAATCAGTATCAGAGAAAAATTCCACCACGGCTTCCATTTATTCTCTTTGTATAACATTTCAGCAGATCCAGAATTTGGAAAATTATTGAACTCAATCTTAACTTTGAAGTTGACTTTCTGCAGATCTTCTGTTTGCAGATGTTTTTGTAAATGAAATTGTGCAGTCAGTGGACTCACCTTGAACCGTGGGACATGATGGTGGCTGCTCCCAAGGGTTGTATTGTGGCTCTGCATGGCTCAAGGGGGAGATTAAGGTGTCGATTGGAAGATGCAAGAGGCATCTGTCCCAATTCTTATCAGCATCTGGGGATTGTGGTAGACACCAAATATTGTTTAGACACTGGCATTTGGGACTGCACTGAGAAGCGGTGAAGTGCATGCTGATTGTCCTGATCTCACTTCAATGACAGCAGGGTCCTGTTGCAGGTTAAGGTTGTGGTGTCTAAGACATGTATCCAAACCATTCTCCTTCATGGTGCCAAGCTCCTGGGCTTGCAGTGGAAACCTTCAGCACATTTGTGAAGACCAGGACTAAACAGTCAGGTGGAATTTTGGTAAACGGGGAAGTGGCTGCAAAGTAGAAGGGCTCCATCCAACACTAATCTGTCACTTAGCATCCCGGAGGCAGAGTCAGGGAATCTTTAATCTTCACCTGTACAGAAACACAGATAATCAATTTAACATCCCATCCGAAGAACGACACCTCTGACACTGCAGCATTCACACAGTGTCAGCCTCGACTGCGATCTCACAGGCCCAAAGGGAGCTTGATTCCCTGAGTCACAAACATCTGACTTGGAAGCAACTGAGCCAAGCTGATAATTTATTTAGTTTGATTAGCTACATTATCATAATATGAATGCAGCAGTTCTGAATGAAGATCCTATGTGTTCACAGTTACAGGCATGATGATTCTGAGACCCTGCAAGACAAAATCATCTTTTCCGCTACAGATGGATTCAACTCAGCTGAATGTGTTTTGGAGGTGCAGGTCAGTGAGAATGACGAGGGTGTTGATCCATTTCCAGAGGCTGATCTCTGCAACAACAAAAACTTGCATTTGTACAGGATGACCAAAATTCGTGATATCTACCCTATTATCTAACAATAAATCATAATTTCTTTAAGACTATTAGACATTGTAATGGTATCACATCTTTTTGGTCACCCCGTATAATGACTTTCACGTGGGGCAGCGTCTTGGAGCACTTAACAGTGGCAGAGCCTGATGCCGGGCCGGGGGAGGAGGTGACTGTAATCACGGTCAAAGAGAAAGGTCTTCGGTTGTGATCTAAATGAGGGAAAGGAGCGGGCAGGATGGAGGGAATTGAGGGAGAGAAGTCCAAAGCTTCGGGGCACAGTGGCTGAAAGCAAGGCTGTAGTGGCGGAGGAAACGAGGAACAAGCAGGAGGCCAGAGCCAGCCGAATGGAGGTAGTGGGCAGAAAGGAGGTCAGAAAGTTAGGGAGGTGCCAGGGCATAAAGGGATTTGTAGACGAATGAGAGGATCTTGAAATCAAGACTGCAGACTCGTGTTCTTCTGCATCAGTGAAATCACATTTGCAATATGCAAGAATTTTTGGCTCTTCACTTACAGGTAGATATTGAAGTATAGTAGAATTTAGAGAAGAGCAAGGTAGGCTCCAAATGATAATAATAATCCTTGCATTTGATATAGCGCCTTATTATGGCTTCGAGACATCTCAAAGCATTTAACCGAATACAATGTAAAGTGTTATGATTGTGTATTTTGTGGGCGAAATGCGGCAGCCAATTGTACACAGCCAATTGCACAAATCATAAGGATTAGGGCACAGAGTTGAATTTGTATTCAGTGGAGAAACAAAGGGCCATAATATAGGTATTTAAAATATCAAAAATCATGATTAATGTGAACGAAAGTAAGTAATTTATTTAAACTGCAATTGTAAAAGTGCGAATAGGACAAGAGATAATAAAAAAGCATTCAGGTAACGAAGTTGATATGTGGAAGAGGGTTGCATTGAGGCCGTTTGGGATGGAGTTGGAACTGCGCACTCATTTCACTTCAGATCTTTACAGGAATCTGGGGTGGATTAAAAGCAGATGCTTTTCCAACCCTACTTTCAACAAGTGAAGTTTAATTGTGCATTGATGTACAGTAGTTTGGAGTTTGGGCATTGTCAGATGTTGCAAAGGGCTCCTAATTTGTCTAGGGACCTTTAAAGTCAGTTGTAAACAATTGCTCACCATATGTTTTGGGTGTATGTTGATCGGTAATAAATGATTTTCTCTCGGGTGGGAGAGTGGGGGGGGTGAAGTAAAACCATATTCTCTGACTGCACTGTGGCAGAGCTAGGGCAGCAGACACAATATTCAGACATAATTTCCACAACATGTGACTGGAAGGAGGGAGGAGGGAAGATTAAATGCTTGATTTAAGGAATGAGTATGAAACAGTTGGCTATGTGGTGATCATACAGTTAGAAGTATAAATTCAACTGGATCATAGTGATAGTTCTGGAAGATGTTGTGCAGAGAGATATAATGTAATAATAAGTCTCAAAGCGCTTCACAGGCTTTACTGTAAAGTGAATTGACTGTGTATTTGTAGGCAAACACGGCAATGCCCCACAAACAGCCAATGAATGAATGACCAGTTTCATTCAGTGAATTGTTGGTCGGGACACTGGAAGAAACTCCCTTCTCTTTTCAAGTCATGCCATGGGATCTATAACCTGAACGGGCCGACAGGACCTCAGTTTATGGTCTCATCCAAAAACAGCACCTCCGGCAAAGCAGCATACCCCCAGCACTGCATGAAAGTGCCAGCCTAGAAGAATATGTGAGTTCAAGTCCCAATTGGGGCTTTAACCCACAACATTCTGACTCAGAGACGAGTGTGCCACCAACTGAGCCAAACTGATACACACATCTCTTGTAAAACAACGGTCAATGGCTATAAATTATTAAAATAAATTTTCCTCAAAGAGCTCTACAGCAGGAAAACGTTCCTTCTTGAAATAATAGCTCTGAAACAGCATCAAGCTCCTTTGCTAAACATCTCACCATTGCAAATTTTGAAAATAATTATAAGGATAACCCTAAATAGTAACCACTGATTGTTGTGTTGGTTGTATTTTGGAGGCAGACCGACATCTGGCAAGCAGTTCTCTCCACAGAAAACATGACTTAATTGTGGTAATCACGCCCCAGATGTTTTTGAAGCATGTTTCACTGCAATTTGAAGCTTCAAAGGAAACTGAGAGAAAGCCCGAAAACAGCATTGAGCCCACAGCAAAAATGAGCTAGGTTCTCTTGTTTGTTAAGTCTCTGCCAGTTTGCTTTCCCAATGATAAAATAAAGAAGATTCACTGAAAGCCTTTCTTTAGAAAACTCATAACAAAATAATTCTCAGGAAAATAGGTTAGGTTGAAGTATCTTATTTCATTGAGCACATTCTCCCTTTACCAGACATTGGTAAGTGAGGCTGAATACCGCAGTAGCGCTCCAATTAATTGTATTTGTTTTGTTGAGGGGTATTTATCACGTACAGCACAAAATATCAATGTTTCATTCCAAATAGTACCATCAGAGGTCTGAAAATCACCTGGTATTAGGCTTACTCCTATTACCATGCTACTCCCTCCACTTGGGCTGCTACATGTCCCCCAACTGATCCATCTACCATTGGTGGGTGAACCTTCGACCATTCTGCCCCTGCTCTCTGGAATTTCATCCTAGATTGCCTTGGTTTGCCCCTCCATCCCTCCCTGCCTTTTTTAAAAAAAACCTTAAAACCTATTGCTTTGACTATGCTTTTGGCTACCTTTCCCTTCCATTTCCCAGCTCCCTCTCCCTGCAGCTCAGACTCACAGTCAGTTCTGTGAAGTGCTTTGAGATGTCCTCACAGAGTGAAAGGCACTATATAAATGTTTAAATGACCATTTACAATTGTGCAGAAATTTAGAACATTCTTAGATTCAATTTTAATTTTGAAACCTGTTTTCGTTTTTAAAAAAAAGATCCTTGGAAAGCCAGATTATAACTTAAAACTCATTTATGAACTTTTTTAAAATTTCCCTTAATACCCTTAAATTTCAAGATCACAACCTTGAGATGAAGATCAGGGAAATGTGTGAGCTTCAGAGCTTCGTGAAATTAGAACGTGTGGAGTGTTTTGTGAAAAGTAGCACACATGCTACTGTGTCCAATGCTGGTCGCCACACAGCAAGAAGAATATAGCAGGGTTGGAAAGAGTACAGTGTAGGTTTATTCTGATGATATCAGGATTAATAATCGTTGCATTTGATAAAGCTCCTTATCATAGGAACATAGGAACAGGAGTAGGCCATTCAGCCCTTCAAGCTTGTTCCGCCATTTAATTAAATCATGGTTGATCTGTGTCTTAACCAATCCTTTCAATTCCAATTTCCAACTTTTTCCCCAAATCCCTTAATACCATGACCTACCAAAAATCTATCAACCTCACTCTTGTAAGTCTGGATGGGGGAAGAGAATTCCAGATTTCTACCACCCTTTGAGTGAAAAAATGCTTCCAGATTTCACTCTTAAATGACCTGGTTCTAATATTAAGACTATACCCCTTGTTTTGGAGTTCCCCACCAGAGGAAATAGCTTCTCTGTATCTACCCTATCATATCCCTTCATCATCTTAAATACCTCAATCAAATCACCCCTCAACCTCCTAAACTCAGAGGAATACGATCCAAGTTTACACAGCCTTTCCTTGTAACAACCCTTTTAGGCCTGGTAACATTCTGGTGAACCTGCGCTGTACCCCTCCAGGGTCAATTTATCTTTCCTGAGGTGTGGTGCCCAAAACTGAACGCAGTCTCCAGGTGGGGTCTGACTAACCCTCTATGCAGTTGAAGCATCATTTCTTCCCCTTTGTATTCCAGGCCTTTCCATTCACCTTTTTGATTACTTTTTGCACCCGGGAACTAGTTTTTAGTGATTTGTGGATATGGACACCCAAATCTCTTTGCTCCTCCACAGTTCTTAATTTCTCCCCATTAAGAAAATATTCTGCTTTATCTTTTTTCGGTCCATTGTGGATGACCTCACACTTCCCTATGTTGAACTCCATCTGCCATCATGTCTTTGAGATGTCTAAAAGCTCTTCACAGGACAATATTGTAAAGTGTAGTGACTGTGCATTTTATGGGAGAATCGCAGCAGCTAATTGCGCACAACAGTATCACACATACAGTCGTGGATTGAGTGACCAAATTTTTTGTTGAAGTGATTATTATCCCCAGAAAAGCCATCCAATTGACTAACAACCGGGTTCCTACTTACTGCTAGGTAAACAGAGGCATGTGTATGGAGTAAGGAAACTTGCTTAAGGTTTCGCCCTCATCGGCCAGGAATCGAACCCAAGTCCTCTTGCTTGCGAGGCGAGAGCTATATTATAGATGTCTATAAGGGACTTAACCAGCTTTCCTTATAATAATAATAATAATCCTTGCATTTGGTACAGCGCTTTTCACGTCGGGAGGACGTCCCAAAGCGCTTCACAGAACACACTGTAAAGTGAATTGACTGTATATTTGTGGGCGAACGCGGCAGCCAATTGCGCACAGCAATGTCCCACAAACAGTCGTAGATTGAAAATGACCAATTTATTATTGCTTTTGGTTTTGGAGGGATTATTATTAGACGTGTGGAGTAAGGAAACTTGGCCAAGGTTTCGCACTGCCTGGAATTGAACTCAGGTCTCTCGCTTGCAAAGCGAGTGCTCTAACCACTGAGCTACAGGACTCCACGAATGAAGACAATGAAGACATCAGGTCTCAGTAGGGTTCTGCCTATACCTACAGTTTTGGTCACTTTGCTTTCTCCTAGTATCAACTTCATTTCCTTGATGGTGAAGAGAGTCTTAGATACCTGGGTTTAATAATAATAATCTTTGTGTTTGATATAGCGCCTCATCACATCTTCGAGGCGTCTCAAAGCAACGGCGATTGGCAAGTTACTGCTAACAGGATAGACTGGATAGGTTAAGCCTTTTTTTCCTTAGAGATCTAATAGAGGTGCTTAAAATTATAAAAGGGTTTGATAAAGTTAGCATAAATAGGCTGTTCCCACTCGTTGAGGAAACTAAGTAGGGGCCACAAGTATAAGATAGCAACTCGGAATCAAAAATAGAATTTAGGAGGAACTACTTCATGCAGAGGGTACAGAGATTGTGCAATTCATTGCCTGAAGTAGTGATTGAATCAGATAGTGTAGATGCATTCAAGGGGAAGCTAGACCTTGATATGACGAAGAGGGGAAAAGAAAGGTATGGGAGGGAGTAAGGAGAATGAGTAAAGACTCTCTAGAGTCTGATCAGCAGCATGTACTAGTTGTGCTGAATGGCCTGTTTCCTTGCTTTACACTGTGTGAATCTGTGCTATCCCGGCACAAATGTATTTGACGTTGTGTATCCTCACTCTAGGTGTTGCCAGTGAATGACAAGCCTCCAGAGATGAAGCCAGGACTGAACCCCATGTTATACTGCCTTGAAGGAGAGCACATTACCATTACCACAGAATACCTCTACGCTGCTGATATGGATAGCGATGACTCCAAACTTATGTTCATGATTGTGCGGCAACCACTGTATGGGATTGTGCGCAAAAACAGCCAAATCGTCGATCGCTTTACTCAAGCTGATGTTATCGCCGGCACAGTCACATACAGCCACATTAGTAAGTGTCTTCAGAACCTGACTGAGGTTTCCTTGTGCGTTTTGACTGGCATGGGCTGCTTCTGTAATACATGTTAAGCTCTGTACCAGGAGCTGGTTAATTTTGTCTGCAGCTAAAGTGTATGGATGTCACTGGCGAGTGAAGATTGACACTGATGAGTTGACCTGTTGACTCTGATCCGATCTGTTTACCCTTCACTCCACCATCCGCTGCCTCCGTTCGGCTGGCTCCGGCCTCCTGTTTGTCCCTTGTGCCCTCCACTCCACCATCGGTGGCCGTGCCTTCAGCCACCTCACCCCGAAACTCTGGAACTCTCTCCTCAATCCCTCTGCCTTGCCACTTCCCCACTTTCAAATTCCGCCTAAAGACCTTCCTTTTTGATCGTACTTATGGTCACCTCCCCACTCCCTGTCCCCCAGCTCGGGTCAAACTCCGCCACTGTCAAGTGCTCTGGGACTCTATCCCATGTGAAGGGCGCTATATAAATGCAAGTTGTTGTTGTTGACTCACTTGAGTAGCTGACCCATGCAGACAAGGAAAGTCCAAGGTTTGATCCCAATCTATGCCGAGTGGAGGTTCCAGCAGATTATTGTGAGATTTTTTTTAAATGGCTCCAGTTCTCTGGCCTCAACCACCCCTCCCAGTATCCTTTCCAGCCATTAATTCATTCATTCTTTTGTGTAAAGAAAAAATGTCATGAAATTTGCTCTTTGCAACCATGAATCTGTGCCTCCTTGTCAGAGTGAAACTTTATTGTGAAAGGACTATGAGTAAAGCTTTGTGGAGTGACGTTATCCCTCCCCCCAAAAAATTATGCCTCAACACGATGGCACCCAGTGACAGTTTAGACATGTCTCAAAACGTTCACATTTAATCATATGGTGCTGGGGTGGGGGGGACTGTAGGGTGAGTGTTCGGGAAGGATGAAATCAGATGGGCCAAAGGGCCTTCTTTATCCAAACCAACCTTATGATAAATAGTAATCCTTGGATCGATACAACACCTTTCAGATTCTGCTCTTCTCACATTTCCTTCTTTCAGGTGGGGAGGTCGGTTTGAATCCCTGCTTTGACACCATCACTTTTGTTGTCTCGGACTGGGATGCAGGCACAGTGGGAGGCTGTTGCTATGAGGAGCCTGTTTCCCCCCCAAGATCTCTGCATGACTCTCTCCCCGTGTATGACCTCAACATCACAGTCATGCCCATCAACAACCAGCCGCCGACCATTAAGATCGGTAAGTAAATAAAACAATAATGTTGTTTATATTATGTGTATTAGCCTGGCTCAGTGGTAGCACTCTCGTGTCTGAGTCAGAAGTTGTGGGTTCAAGCCTCACATCGGGACTTGGAATCACATACTCTAAATGGACACACCAATGTAGTTCTGGGAATGTATTGCATTGTCAGAGGTGCTGTCCTTCAGATGTGATGTTAAACCGAGGTCCTATCTGCTTGTTCATGTGGATGTTAAAGATTCCGTGGCGCTATTTGAAAAGAGAAGGGAGTTTCTCCCGGTGTCTTGGCCAACAACCCCCCCAAATAAATAATTGGTCACTCACTCCATGGCTGTTTGTAGGACATTGTGTGCAACTGGTTGCTGCTATACACTCAATTCCCCTTACAGTATATCCTGTGAAGCGATTTGAGATGACTTAACAACTTGATAAGGCGCTATATCAAATGCAAGGATTTATTATTATGTTTTCCTGTTTTAATGTATTTGGACACATCTGACATTGCCTGTTTACATTCACCAAACAACCTTTGCCTCTAGAAGAACATTATACTTCTACAATCCCCCATTCCCAATGTTGAGGATTTTTTTTGAAGCTTAAAATATTTTGGGAGAAATTTGCAGCATGTTGTTTTTCATTTGATGCAATAAATATGCCCCAACACAATGGCACCCAGTGACAGTTTAGACATGGCTCAAAATGTTTACATTTAATCATATGGAGCTGGAGTGGGGAGACTGTAGGGTGCCTGTTCTGCATGCGATCAGATGAGCCAAATGCCCTTATTCAACCAAATTAATCTTGTGATAAATAAATAGTAATCCTTGCATTGATATAGCACCTTTCACTTTGGGAGGACATCTCAATTGCTTTGTGGAATATACTGTAAAGCGTAGTGACGGTGTGTTTTGTAGGCGAAAAAGGCAATTTGTGGACAATAATAACCATGAAGTGAATGATCAATTTCATCTGGAGGATTGCCAGTCAGGACACTGGGAGAAACTCTCTTCTCTTTTCAAATTGTGCCGTGGGATGTTTAACATCAGACAGACATGACCTTGGTTTAACACCTCACCTGATGGATAGATGTGTTTAATATATATATGCACCATGAAATGATGTAAATTTCATTTCTATTTTTCAACCTCCCTTGTATGATCTTTCTGTGCCATATGGAATCCCCAGGTGAGGAGTTGGCAGGGTATGTGGTTTGTACCTTTTCCCATGGCAGGAGTGGTGCAGTCACATCACCACTATACCTATTCAATTTGAAGAAGTGATGGGAGGATGATAAAGTGGGAATGAGATCAAAAGGGCCTTTTTTATCTGAACCTGTCTTGTGATCTTGTGAGGTCTGTGGAGTCCTGGCCTGTATGACCTCCTCAGTGATCCACTGGTTCAGTACCCAGATATAGAAATCAAAATACAGGCAGTTCAGTTGCATCTGTGTCCCCGAAGAATCTGCACTGACTGCAATTTAGCAACACAAGAGGACATTTCACTGGTGAGGGTGGTCTGAGAACCAATCAGAACATTTGGTTATATAGTATTTGGGAGCAAATAGTGAGCACCTTCCTCTTCACCTTCTGTGCTGCCTCATTCCAGGTCCAATGTTTGTCGTTGATGAGGGCTCCACTGCATGCATCACACTTTCCCACCTCGATGCCAGTGACCAGGATACTCCGCTGGAGGCACTGACTTTTGTTCTGGTGTCACCTCCCCAGTTTGGCTTCATTGAGAACACTCTGCCTTCACCGGGCTATGAGAAAAGCAACACCGGTATCAGTATAGGTAAGTTACAATAGAAAATAATGAGCTTTTTCTGGATCATTAGGTTCCTGTGTGCAGTGAATCATTTTTTTTAATGTTTGTTTTTCATTAGTCCAGTTTTCCCCCTTCTTTCCTCGTGCTAACATGCTATCAAATGCAATGATTATTATAATTGAGTGCTTAAGATTATACAAGCTTAGTTATCCTATGGTATAATAATAAATTTTATAAAATCCTTGCATTTGGTATATTGATGCGTATTACATCCAATTATTTCCAAGTGCTTCACTTATAATTGGTGTAAAGTGGAGCTGAGCGCAGAAGCCAATTTACACACAGCAATGTCTCATAAACAGCCATGAAGTGAATGGTAATTTTAGCTGGAGGATTGTTGACCAGGTTGGCAGGAGAAACCCCCTTTTCTTTTCAAGTAGTGACATGGGATCTTTAACACCCACCTGAACAGGCAGACAGGACCTGGGTTTAATATTTCACCCAAAGAACAGTGCGTCCAACAATATAGCGTTCCCCCAGCACTGAATGTCATCTTAGACCAATCTGAAATTGAATGATTCCCCCACTCGAATAGCCTGTCGACACTCACCATCTGGGCTTCTGTATAAAGAATGGCAACTTTGGGGAGTTACTGGAGGGTGACTACTGCCCAGCAAATGTTTGCCCCTCAGTAGATCCACAAGAAATAAAAGTTAATAAAATAATAAGAATAATCTTTACAATTGATATGGCACCTTTCATGTTGGAAGGACATTTCAAAATGCTTCACAGAATATTCTATACAGTATAATGACTAATTTTGTAGCCAAATGCAGTGGCTAATTTGCGCACTGCACAGTAAAGTCCTACAAACATCATGAAGTAAATGATCAATTTTATTTGCAGGGGATTGTTGACCAGATCACTAGGAGAAACTCCCTTTACTTTTCAAAAAAAAAAGTGGAATTTTGCAAATCTGTTGACTTCCCCTGCTGATGAGTTTCTTTTTCCTCCTTGTATGCCTAGGTTCATTTGCTCTGAAACATGTGAAGGATTCTTATATAAACTATGTTCAGTCTCGACACCAGAGGATTGAGCCTACCGCAGATCAGTTCATGCTGTATGTTACTGATGGGGAGCACCGGTCCAGAGAGAAGCCATTTTATGTTGTAATTCACCCTACAAATGACGAGATACCAGATTTTCTTGCCAGGAATATCACTGTAAGTAGAGGAACACCTTAAATCAATACAATACCAAATTACATTTGTGTAGTGCCTTTCAAGTCGGGAGGTGTTCCCAAGGCTTTGGACAGTCAGGGATTTGGACCTGTGCTGGGGGTCGGGATCAGGAAGGTTGGAGGGCAGGGAGGGTAGGAGAGAAGTGGGTGCCCCATTGGTTAAGCACTGAACTTGACCTGGGCTCCAGTCCTAGTAGAGCTTTCATTCTTCTGAGCTGATCAAAATGAGTGAAATTTGGTTGATCAACAGTATCCTCCTAATTCTCATTGGAGTTTATAACTGTTCATAATAGTCAATATTTTTAGCAAGAAAGCAATTCATTCCTGGCCTTCCACTGCAGGGTTTGCGTACACCCTCTTATTTTCAACCAGAATTGTTAACATTCTATAAGAGTTCTGTTTATTTTGGAAATTACTACATAAGATTGCTGACTAGGATTTTAATAAGGGTATCTCTCTTCCCTTTCAACCATTCTCTTACTGTCTTGCTTTCTCTCTCTCTCTCTCTCTCTCGGTGCTAACTCTTCAAATGAGCTAACTACCAGCTATTTCCCTGGCCCCTTTATATTGTTCATCTGCAACTATTCACCCTAATCAGTTTAAAAATGTTTCATCTTGTTTTTTTAAAAATCCCGTCCGTCACTTTATTGCAGGTACCCGAAGGTCAAATGTGCGAATTGGGTCCATCAATAATCAACGTGGTGGACTTCGATGTGCCCCCGGACAACCTGATGTTCACTGTGACCCAGCAGCCACAGCACGGGATGATGGTGAATGGAGTGTTTGGGAAAGATGTTAATCGATACAGTCACCGGCACCAGGAACTCCCTGTCCGTGACTTCACGATGGATCAGCTGAAGCATGGTATACTGTATGATAATAATAATAACCCTTCCGCTTGATATAGTGCCTTAGGTTCTCTGACCTCAGGAGATGTTCACAGCTGAGCAAGATCCCATCAAAGTTCCAGGAGGAATTTCAGGCCTAATAAGATGAGCCACTCTTGACTAAATATACTAAATGCAGCTGGGTTGGGGAGGGGGGCGGTTGCCCTATTATCTCTGCCACCCTCTGCTGGGATATGGTTTCACAGGCCCTCTCTCACCTCAGATATGAATTTTCTTGTGTGAGTGATAGTCAGAGTTAGTAAGCTCTTTAACCACTGGGAGGCATCATAGCTGATCTTGTCCTCACCCAAAGATCCCACACCTGCATTTCGTAGGAGTGTCTACTGGACAGTGATCAGGAAACAAACTTCCCTAAACAAGAGAGCTGAGGCCAATTCCAGCTTCCCTATAGCTGCCCAGGCTGAGAACAGCTAACTCAGTATGGAACACTCTGCAGTAGGATGTCCAGCCATCTTTCGAACTAAAGTATGTAATACAAAGAGTATTTGGGTACTTGATGTATGATCTGCATCCTGTGTCTTACCTGTCTCCCGTTCCACTCCTTCCTCCCAGGAATGAAACTGATGTATATGCATGATGACTCTGAAACTACAGCCGATAGCTTCACAGTGCAGTTGTCAGATGGCAAGCACAAGATCCGCAAAGCCATTTCAGTCCAAGTCCTTCCAATCAATGACCAGAAGCCTTTACTCATCAGGTAAGGTGCACCACCTTTGGTATACTCAGCTCTTCTTTGCTGAGGGTGAGAGTATACTTCTGAGGCATTCCAGATAGCGTTGTTAAAACATAGACATAATTAGAGCAAAGGGAAGCAAATTAGCCCATCGGGTCTTTGCCTCTTCTCATATCCTTCAGAGGATATCTAACCCACACAAAACGTGACCAGTGAGTATTTGATGCCGTCAATATTCACATGAATGTCTGTGTGTGCACAATCAGGCCTATATACTTTTTCCTCTTCCTGCTCTGGGCAGCTTAGTGCAAGGCTGTACTTGTACTTGTACTTCAGCGCTTTAGGATGTCCTCCCGATGTGAAAGGCGCTCTATAAATGTAATTTTGTTGTTGTTGTTGTTGTACTTTTACCCAATGAGCCATCAGCCACTTTATCTGGAAAGGACACATTGTCGTCACTTCACAGTGAGGTTTCAGAGAGGGATAATGTAATGGCAAAGGACACAATAAGGTTCATTGAAGCTAATGAGCAGCACACACAGATGATGTCTGAGATTGGGAGGGTAGGATGTGGTGTATATCAGATGTATTAAATTCCTCTCTGGAATTTCCTTCCTGTATCTGTCTGACTTGTCAAGGGTAGATTAAAAAAGATTGCTTAATTGCACTCACTGATGTTATCGCTTCAACATCTGTTAAATGTCAATTACTTGTACAGGAGTGAATTGGTCTATGTACACTGTAAGGGATGCTCATTTGTGTGATCCTGTTTCCTTGTGCTCTGCAACATGTCACATGTTACAGAGCACAAGGAAACAGGATAACACAATGAGCATCCCTTGCAGTAGTGATGCTAGATACATCTTTAGTATCAAAGAATATTACACTCATGACATACAGAGAGATATTAACAAAGAGAAATCCCCGGAAGTGAAGGGGAGGGGGGAACCTTATCCAGGAAAAATCTTGCTGAGATTTCCCTGTCTCTTCTAGGAATAACGGCCTTGAGATGGAGATGGGGGAAACACGAATCCTTTCCAGTGTTGTGCTCGTGGCTGAAGACAAGGACACCCCCAGGGAGCATGTTTATTACATGATACAAAGTGCCCCTAAACAAGGAGTGCTTCAGCTCAAGGTCAGCGACAGTGTTTCAGGATTTAAAGTTTCCCAATCTGATACAAGTCAGAGGCTCATAGTATATCCTGTGAAGCGTTTGAGATATCCTACTGACACTTTATCAAGTTATCAAGGTCTTCTAAAATGCTTCACAGGATATACTATGAAGTGCACTATGACTGTTAAAAGCAAAAATGATGACTTTTCTATTCTGAGGGAGAAACCTTTCTTCTCAAGTCAGACATGTGTTCAGTCCCGAAGCTGATGTTAGAACCAATTGAACGGAGATAGGTTTTTAACTTGAATTTCTGCCCTATTCCCTAATCTCAAGACCCTTCTCTTCGACCGTGCCTTTGGTCTCCCTCCCACCTCTCTGCCTTCACTCACCCCTAGAAATGTAATTTTGTTGTTGTAATCCATTGAAACTAATTGGGGGGAAAAGAATGTTTAGGAAAATCTCAATTTTTACTCCATAAATGCAGTTGACTTGCATGATTTGAACAACTATGATACTATAATAATATTCCTTGCTTTTGATATACCTTATATTGTCGATGTTTCAAATTGCTTCACAAGATGTATTGTAAAGTGTAGTGACTGTATTTTGTGTGCATAAACCGCAATAAGTGACCAATTTAATTTGGGGGATATTTAACCAGGGTTCTGGGAGAAACTCCCTTTTCATTTGAATAGTGCTGTGGGATCTTTAACCTGAACAGGCAGACAGGATCTCAGTTTAATGTCTTATCTTAAGGAGCTACACCCCCAATACTGTATTAGAGTGTAAGCATAGACTCTGTGAATTCCCATACTGACACAGGAAGAATGTCTACTGAAAGCAAGCATCCAGAAAGCAGACTGGAATCACAGTAGTGAAACAAGAAACATCTTAAATAAAACAAAATAGTAGAAATTATTTTAATAGTGATATAGTAAAAGTCTTACCTTTATAAATCATATAATTGCCTAAGTTCCACATTCATCCAAATCCGATTCAGTTTCCTATGAAAACCACAAAGATATATTTGCACTATTCTCCTAACTCATAACACTACTCCCTACCCTTCATTACTCCTGCACTACCCAGCTGCATTGAACCTTGATCCATTGACACATGCGCAGAAGGACTTAAATTTCCTGCAATTCAATCCATTCCAATTCTTGCCAGTAAGTGCGCATGTGGCGATGGGTCAAGATGCATTGTATCTCGGAAATCTCCGGCTGCATTAATTTACACAGGTGCTGTGTAGATTATTGATTAAATCGGATTTTCTACCACTTAGTTGAGGTCTCAGAAGACCTCAACTAAGTGCTACAAACCAGTTTGCCTGAAACTTGGACTTGGTGTAAGTCACATTAAATGTTATGGTCCCGTGTGATACGACTTAGGTGAGTTTTATTGTAGTGTTTTCTGTTTGTCACTTCCATTCAATATAAAATGTTGGTTAGTATTGCTTAGTGCACAAGAAGCAGACTTTCTTCTGTTTGTCTTTTTCTTGGTGTACAATTACGATAGAAGTTTCCTGGTTTATTTTGACTTTGTTGTTTCCCTCAGGTGGGCAACAATTGGATACCTCTGAATCCAGCAATGAACTGGAGTCAGGACGACCTGGACATGAATCTAGTGAGATACGTACACACTGGAGCACTGGGTTCAAAGGACCAGGACAGGTTTAGTTTCCATCTGTCAGACGGTGATAACCGGTCACCAGTGCATCATTTTTATGTCACCATTAGGAACATGGAAAAAGGTACATAATTACCAATGGCAGTAGAGATATATTGTATGGCTTTAAAACCAAGTGAAAAGCGATTCAATTTTAACCTATTTCCATATACATTGCCATTTGCCTACAAAATACATAGTCACGACATTTTATTGTGTATCCCGTGAAATGCTTTGAAATACCCTCCCGATGTGAAAGGTCTATTATCAAATGTAAGCATTATTATTTTTATTGTTTGTATATATATATATTTATATAGCTCATAGTCTAGAACTGTGGTGGCCAACCTATGGTCCACAGGCCAGAAGTGATATCAATCAAGAAATATTCAATCAAGAAAATTCATCTTGTTGGCTGACTGAAAAGATTGGCCACCACTGGTCTACACTGACACTCCAATACAGAGCTGGATGTGTACTGCCTTATTGGAGTTTCCATCCTTCAGATGAGACGTTAAACTAAGATCCCTGCCTGTCTGCCTGTCTGTCTCTTCAGATGGACGTTAAAGACTGCAAGGCACTACCTGAACAGAGAAGGGAATATCTTCTGGCATCCTGGCCAGCAATACTCCAAATAAAATTGTTACTCACTCTATGGCTGCTTGTAGAACATTGCTCTGCACATAATCGCTGCTGAATTTACCCACAAAATACACAGTCGTGTCACTTTACAGTAAATCCTGTGAAGAATTTTAAGGCATCTTGACAATGTGATAAGGCACAATATCAAATACAATAATTATTTTTATCATAATATTAAACGAATTAATTAATTATCAAGCTGTGGCTTTCAGTGATTGGAAACAGAAGAGCTGGCATCACTTTAATAAGGATTCATTTGACCTTGGTTACCTTTCTAGGTGAAATTGCAGTGTTTCTCAAACCACTTGCCCTTGCCAAGGGAGGCCGAGGCATTCTGACTACAGCCGAACTCCTTGCTGCCGATGGCACTGATAAACCCGAAGAGCTGCTATATGTAATAACAGCCCCGGCAAAATATGGACAAGTGGAATACATCGGTCACCCTGGATTAGTAATAACCAGCTTCACCCAGATGGACGTAGCGGCTCAGACAGTCTGTTACACTCACAGCAGCAAGGCGGATGTCACAAGAGATTCATTCCGGTAAGACTGTGTATATTTACTTAAAGATTTTTAGCTAATAGTCGAATCTCTAGAATTGAATTCCACGAAACCAGATCATTGCTTCCTGTATGTATTGTACATTCTTGCTTTGTTGTTTAGGAGTCAGGAAATAATTAATATTCTAATGATGCTGCTTGAAATTACAGTACCGAAAACATGCCCCAATCATTCTAATTTAATGATACGTTCATGATTTTCATATGTGTGGAATTGACAGTATCTGTATAAAGGACTCCAAGCCAGGGGTTCCATATTACCTACACCTCTATATCACTGGCAATTGGTATATGAGAACTCATTTAAATAGCAGCTTGATGCTGTGATGAGGGACGGTAGGATGTTTAGGATGAGATCGATTGGGCTGAAGGGCCTTCTTCATCCAAAACAATCTTGTCATCCTGTGACATTTTAAATTGTGATTCTCTGCACAGTAGATTGTTACCTCATTGGTTTTCAGAGGGAATATGTTGGATTCACCTTACAGTGTCATTGGAGAAAAAAAGAGAGAGAACTGCACAGCTCCTGAATGACTCAACAAGGTTTCATACAGAGATTAGCTGAGACAAGCAGGCCCCAGATTCAATCTCAGGTTTGCACTGTGCAAACTCATCTTAACTGGGGTAGCAATAAGGGCTTCCTGAGTTAGTGTGGGGCAATCAGCCAGGGTTCCTCTTCTGATCAGTATCCAGTGACCTTGCTGGAATGTGACATTAAATTGATGTCCCATCTGGATGTGCAAGATTCAATGGCTCTGAGTCAGAAGGCTGAGGGTTCAAGCCCTACGTCGGATCATTGAACTTACATAGTCTTGACTGGCACTCCAGTGCAGTGATGGAGGTTTGCTGTATTGTTGGAGGTGCCATCCTTCAGATGAGACATTAAACTGAAATCATGTTTGCCTGTTCAGGTGGATATTAAAGATTCCATGGCACTATTTGGGGAGAGAGGGGAGTATTTCTCAGTTTACTGGCCAACAATCCCCCAAATAAAATTGGTCAGTAAATCCTGTAAAGTACTTTATGATATGGAGCTGCAGGATTTGCAAGGATTATTATAATTAAATACAAGGATTATATTATTTATATGAGAAGTGTGTGTGAAACATCCTCCAGTATGCTTATTTGTGTAAGTAACCAAGGAATATTTTTATAGCATTTTTATTAATTAATATTTTTCAATCATTAATTTCACAAATAAGAATATCTATAATTCTTCTGTATATGTGTGTTTACATATGGTTTACCCACAGTTTACACAGGGCACATGTGTCATTCCATCTCCCATAAAATAACACTACATTTTCAAAGAGAGAATAACTGCATCATGTGCATTTCATTGGTGCAGATGAAGACATGAAACTTTCCATCAAACATGAGCTACAAATTTTATAGCCTTTCACATGGAAAATTGTCTCACCAGCTACCCTACTCTCAACCACTATCTAGTGTCCTCTGTAGTATGATATGTAGTGCGTAAACACACTTGAATTTGTTTTTATTTTATCGAAAATAAATATTACACATAATTCAGAGAAACAGAGGAAATACTTTACCTGTGTTTGTCCTGTTTTTCCTTCTTTTCTCCTGTTCTCCCTCTCTTTTTTAGTTTTACACATTTTACCTACTCTAAATTGAAAACTGTTTACAGTACATGCAGTTCTTTTCTGTCTTCCCACTCTCCTACTTACAGCATAATTAGAGTTAACTGCTACATTACACAAGCCATCAGTTACATGTGAACCTTTACAGTGAATGTTGGTAAGCTAACACAGCTGAGACAATCCTGTCCACACATTTTCAACTTCAGCAGAGATTTCTAGATAAAGATCAACTTGGCTGAGTTTTTTTTTACCCTCTCTAACCAAGGCACATTGAAGCAATTTTAGCGCTCCAGCTGAGGTTCACTAAATCAACTTGGTTTTGAACCTATGGATTGTCTGTTCCATGTAGTCTGGAGCTACATCAACGTCAATGGAGGATAAACTCAGGGCACATGGAATGGGGGAAGCATAGTAGTTGAATAGGAAGGTGATTGAAGGCTGGAAAGTAGGGAAGGGAGTAGGGCTAAAATGCCTCCATTTAGTATGCCACAGGGATCCATGTTGGGGCCTCACCACTTTTCCATTATATCAATAACCTGGATATAGGGGGTATGGAATCAAAGTTTGCAGATGATACCAAGCTACGAAGTATAGTGATTAGGGTGGCAAGAGACCAAGAGAATTTAAACAAATTATTGGAATAGGCTGATCAGTGGCAAATGAAGTTTAATGAAACAAAATATGAGGTGATTCATTTTGGTTGAAAAAAACAAGGGAATATATATTGAATGGCAGTAAGAAGCTGAGCCGCAATGGGATTTGGGAGTCCAGGTATAGAAGTCATCGAAAGTGACATTGCAAGTGGAAAAGGCTACAAAGAAAGCTCACAGCATGCTGGGTTTTATATATAGGGGCATAGAATACAAAAGCAAAGCAATAATGCTAAGTTTGTACAAGTCACTGGTTAGACCGCGTCCAGGTTTGGGCACCTCACTTCAGGAAAGATGTTAAGGCCTTAAAGAGTGTGCAGAAGGAGTTCAGTAGAATTATTATGGGATGAAAAGCTACAGTTACGAGGAGAAATTGGACAAGCTGGTCTGATTTCATTGGAGTAATGACCGATATCCTGACAGCTGCCTGTCTGACATTGAGTCCTGGACGAGAGACAACTTTCTTCAGCTCAACGTGCGTATAACTGAGGCCCTCCTGATTGGCTCACGTCAGCGCCTCCGCACCTCAGGCGCTGACAGCATCAGCATCCAAGGCTGCACTCTCCACCTCTCAAAGCCAGTCAGGAACCTCGGTGTTCTGTTCAACCCTGAGCTGTTCTTTCTCCCTCATATCCGCGCCACAACTGGCACCGCCTTCCATCACCTCCGGAATATCGCCAGACTACGGCACTACCTCACCCCTCACGCTGCTGAAACTCTGCTCCACGCCTTTATCACCTCAAGGCTGGACTATGGGAACTCTCTCCTCGCCGGCCTTCCCGCCACCTCCCTCCACAAGCTGCAGGTCATTCAGAACTCTGCAGCTCGTGTACTGTCCCGCACCAGGCTTCGTGACCACATCACTCCCACCCTCGCTCGCCTCCACTGGCTCCCCATCCCCCAGAGGATTGAATTCAAGATCCTCATCTACAAAGCCATTCACAGCCTTGCTCCCTCCTACCTCTCTGATCTACTAACCCCCTAATTATCTGCCCGTACCCTCCGTTCCTCTGGCTCCGGTCTGCTCCACATCCCCCGCCCCAACCGCCCTACCATCAGTGGCCGGGCCTTCAGCCCCAAAGCTCTGGAACTCTATCCCCCAGTGCCTTCGCCTTGCTTCCTCCCTTTCCTCCTTCAAGGCCGGTCTCAAGACCTTTCTCTTCGACCGTGCCTTCAGCTCCCCTCTCGACTCTCTACCCCCTCCTCGCTCCCTCCCTTCCCTCTCCTCACCCTGACCATTTCCCCCCTACTCGGGTCCTGACCCAACTGTACAACGCCTTGGCACGTTCTCCCGACGTGAAAGGCGCTCTATAAATGGAATCTTGTTGTTGTCTTGTTGTTGTTGGAGTAGAGAAGGTTGAACCGGGTGTGAAAGACAAAGTTGTGCAAAATTATGAAGAGACAGGGAGAAGTTATTTCTGTTGATATAGTCAGTGACTTGATGACATAGTTATAAGATAGCCACAATACCAGCGAAAGAAGAACTTAGGAGGACTTTTTTCACCAAGCCGAGTTGTTGGGATGTGGAATGTCCTGTCAAGTAGGGTCAGGTACCATTGTAGCTTTGAAGAGTGAAGTTGACATGACTGTGAAAGAGAGAAGCTTGAAGGGGTATGAGGCAGGGCAATGGGACTGAATCAATCTCCTTATTCTGTGAGCTGGTGTGGACAATATGGGCCAGAAAGCCTCCTTCTGCGCTGTGGATTTCTATATTTCCTTTCTACTGGATACCCATAGGTGCTCTGGATGTCAGCCTAATGGCCTGTAATTTAAAATAAAATGGAAGAGTATTTATTAGTCCTGTGTTCAATGAGCTATAACTGGTTTTGGACAGTTTTTTTCTTCCGCCCATACACACTTCTAAGATCATTTCCCTAATTATTCTTGGATCCATTTAATTTGCTCCAGATGTTTTATGATCCATTATTTTTACTGTCATTTCATTATTCTCCTCTATTTTCCATGACCTTGGGTACATTTCTCAGATGGCAACTTTATTAAAACTAGAGTAACTACTGCCTATTTTTTCTGCTGTCAAAGCTTTCACAAGAAATAATCTAAGATCTACTAATTATAATATTACTATACTAATAATAATCCTTGCATTTTGATATAGCGCCATATCACGTCTTTGAGACGTCTCAAAGCACTTCACAGAATATACTGTGAAATGAATTGACTGTATATTTCATGGGCGAAGCATGGCAACCAATTTTGCACAGCAGTGTCCCACAAACAGTCGTGGATTGAGTGACCAATTTATTATTTTATTATTGTGCTAGATTCATCACCTAGCTGTACAACATACCTAGACTTACTATAATTAATATATATAACTGATAGATGTATGACATTAGATAATACACTAATTGTACAATATGAAGAAATGACAAAATTGTACCATATCTATATGAATTGTTGACATTAAATTCTGGGTGAAGGATTGAGGTCCACAATATAGGATACCAGAAGAGTGGAATGGCCAAGGTATTGGCAAATAATCATTTGATGGCAAAGTTGGATGCTAAATTGAGATTATTGGAGGAGGGAAATACTGTGCTGTGAAAAAGTAAAGGGTTCACATCTTTAAGGTCTTGGGGAAAAATGTATTAGAGTAGGAGCCAGGGCCTTGATTTTTACGTAGTAAGGAAGGATAATAAGTAGATGCAGGGAACATGTAGAGTACCATACATATGGAGTTGGGGAGGAACAAGGAAGGAAATACATAGGTCAGTTCGAAGATTCATGCCTCATTTCCTGTGATTGTTTTTTTACTGCTTCATTGAGTTCTGTTAATGAACTGTTTGTTGGAATGGCATATTTGGGGCATGGATTAATTCCTGTTTTAACAGAGACCTTCTGGTTTACAGAAAAAGTGTAGATTGCAGTTGCATATTTGGGTGTAATTGTTTTCATTTCAAACAATAGCATCTGTAGACAGTTAAAATTATATACCTTGAAGCTTAATTATTTGGTCTAGATTTTTCATATAAATCAATGAAATCCAGCTAGAATAACTATTTGAGCATAGTTTGAACAACCTTCTATTACTCTAAGACAAGTAGCAAATCAACAAGTGTTTTTTTAAATATATATTTTTATTATGTGATATAAATGCAGGAAGCAGAGTATTTGAATTTTAACATTTGGTGATTTTAATACATCAAGAAAAGTGGTGAATAAGATTTTTTTTAACTATCGATAAAAAGGAGCTGCAATAAATGGTGTAACTTTATAACACACCTGTTGTGAGATTGGTAGCAATGTTTTGTCAATGAAAATAATCATTTTAGTCCCTTTGCACAGAGGCTTTGTTTTACTTGTATTTACAGAGCAAGTAGGACCAGAATCCCTGTTAAAGGTGTGTATTATTTTATTCTTTCATTTCTGTAGATGGTGAATCAAGAAAACATATTGAAGGCTGCCTTGCCTTTGACTCTCTTTGCCAGATTCATTGTCAGCAATGGGCTGTCCAGCAGAAACGGAAGCTTTGAGATCATCATTGAAAACGCTGATCGTACCTTGCCCACCCTATCGAAAAACCAGGGGATCCATTTGGTTGAAGGTTCCATGATTGTCATTGCCCCAGAAGTGCTACATCTGTCTGATCCTGATACTCCATCCAGGAATCTGACCTACATCATAGCACAGCATCCACAGTATGGGCAGCTCTATCTCAGAGGGACCGTTCTTCAACAGGACAACTTCACGCAGTTGGACATTGACAATATGGATGTAGCTTACAAACATGGTGGAGGGGATTCACAGATTGACAGGTTCACCTTTATAGTCTCTGATAGGAGCAACCAAGGCTTCCTGGTCAATGGAAAGATGCAGACTGAGCCAGCTACATTCACAATCGAGGCAAGTAACTAGAGATTATTATGTATTTTTTATAAAGAGCATACCTCAACAACATACAGTAAACTGCAGATAATTTAACACTCTAAGGGACAAATGACCAGTTATCCCGAGTGGCAAGTTAGGTAAATGTATAAATACATAAATAAACATGTCAGGTATATTGACAGCCTGATGATTTAAATGGTAGTGACCAGTTAAGCCAGGGTCCAGTTATCAAGAGTTTACTGTAATGTGTCTGGTGCAACAGTAGAGCACAGAATGAGGCTATCAGAGGCTGAACCTTCCCATGGTTGAGGTTTGAACTCTGGCTTCCTCCAGTGTATATTTTGATGGGGAAGCACTGAGATTGGGGGAGAGAGATGTTCTCAAGAAGAAGCATTGACCATAAATGTGGATATTCGCACTGAGACCATTCTGATGTCTATTCTCTTTCTGAGGTAGCTCTCTTTCACCACCTCAGAAAGAGAATAGACATCAGAATAGACATCAGAGTTAAAACCAAGTACCTAAAACCTGTTCAGGTAGACATTATAGATCCCATGGCACTATTCAAAAAAGAGAAGGGAGTTTCTCCCAGTCTCCTAGCCAACACTTCCCAGATTTAAAAACACAGTCATTCACTTCATGACTTGATGGGACGATGTTGTGCAGAAATTAGCTGCTGGTTTGCTTACAAAATACGCAGTCACTACACTTTACAGTAAAGTCTTGTGAAGCACCTTTAGATATCTGGATGACGTGATAAGGCGCTATATCAAATGAAAGGATTATTACTATTATTATGGTTGCTTGTTGGCTAAAAATACCTTAATAATAGATGTCTCACTTTAACATGTGAATGAAAATGACCTGTAAGAAGCAGTTTGAAGCTAACATCTTACCTTTGTCCAGGTGGACTACGTGGACAAGGCTGCCCCAAGGATAATTTACCTTCGATGTCCATCAAAAGTTGACGTTTTGAAAAATGGACGATATGGAATTTATATCTCTTCTCGATCCTTGAAGGCATCAGATATTGACAGCAAAGATGAAGAGATTATTTTCCGCATCCTGAGCCCTCCACTCTTTGGGTACCTGGAAAATGTCACTAGCGGTATGCTTCTAACTCATTTAATAGCTTTATTCAGCCTTTATCCATTTTTACTGCCATATCTTTAAATACTCTCCAGTATTTATACTGGGCTCACTAGGTGCTGTGCACACACTTTACATTTCAGTTTTGGAAGTTTTTCTTAAAAACATTTTGGTAACTTTTGTTTGAATTGTCGTTTGTCAAAGGTTTATAAGTCAACTTAAAGTTCCCTAAAACCGTCTGAATTGCTGAAAGATTAACCTTAACCTGCAAACCTGTGGGTACCATTCCTCTGTACTTTCAACCAATTTAAAGTACAAAATATCTATTCATAATAACTGGTAGGGTTCAGGGTTCTGGGTGTTTTCCTGCCAATATAGTTCTTACAATGCATGGTAAACCACCTGCATAATACTGTTTTAAAGAAAAACTTAAAGACGTGTTGTAAGAAAGATATTCTGTAAGGCTTTTCTACTGAGACGGGAGCCAGCAACTGAGAGTAATATAGTGGCTCTGCATTTGCCTGGAAAATATGCAATCGCATATGTGATTGTACTGTCAAAAATCAAGTTGGGTGGCCTTTACAAAGTCAATATTTTTACTAGGAATCTGAGTAGGAGTTTATTTTTAAATGCAAAATCTGAACTTTTAACGTAGGATCACAGAATAGCACAAAACAAAGGAACTAATGAAAGGTTGACCAATGCTGCAGTGTGATGAGAGCAGACATGCAAGAAAAAAACTGTAAAAGTTATATTGGGTGATTGGTCATGGAGGGTGGGCAAAGCACCTTGATACTAGTTAGCTTTGATTCTGGTCTTTTTCCCAGTTACATGGCAGCTATGAGAGTAAATGTTTTAAGAATTTATGTAGATAAGTGCACAATGCATCTAACCTCATGCAAATACAAAAAGATGTATATGTTTGCACTCATGCACAAATGGCACTGTGTCCCATTGCCATGGCTTCGACTGATCCATCTCCAAGGAGGGTTTGTTTCAAGTAACTGCAACACTGGGAAATTTAGCCTCTTTTCATTATGGACTACCTGCTGTGATTATGCTCACCTCTGAATTCAAACTCATCATGTCATTGCCATACAAACTACTGTTCACACCTTCATGGAAAGATTAATCTTGGTGATGATTTATTCCTGTTCTTTAGGAGGATTCATTCATAATACGTTCACACAAAGGGACCTGAATAGCAAGACCATCCTTTACATCATTAACCCCTCTGTGGAGGTGACATCCGACACTCTGGAATTTCAGGTTTCAGATCGCACAGGAAACTCGGCCATCCCTCAAATGTAAGATCTTTGGCTTAAAATCAATGTTTCTCCAATCATATTTTACTAGCAAATGCAGGATAGACTGGGGCTCTTGGAAATTAACAGTAATAGTTGAAATTGTTATACTGATTAGTTGCAGTCAGAATTTTGTTCATGGGCAATTTAAGCTCTCTCTCATTACTGCTCATAATAATGCACTGCACAGTGTGGCACAGCATGGGGTATTATAGCATGATCCAGCATTACTTTCAGAGGCTTTGTTGTGCTATTTTCTGGCTCATGTTTTAGTAACAGGACAGTCATGGAATATAAATGGAGCAGATGATGTGATTGTAATCAAAGGGAAAGGCATTGAGAGTGCTGTGCAAGCCTCTAACTATCTGTAGAGCAATTCAACAACAAATTACATTTGTATAGCTATATTTCTGTTCTCCACCACCAACCGGCTCATCTACCCTCCCTGCCATGCCTCGCAGATGCTTTCCTCTGACTCTCACTGCAAGAAAATGCTGGACTTCCTCAAGTCCAAAATCGAGGGAATACGTTCAGCTGCCACAGCCCTCACAACTTCCAACCCCTCCCTACCCTCCCCCACACAATTACCCATCTGAAAATTACCCATTCCTCCTTCCACACCTTTGAACCTGTCACCACCTCCTCTGTCTTCACCACCGTAACCTCCATGAAGCCCACCACCTGCTCCCTGGATCCCATCCCCACCCCTCTCCTTAAATCCCAGCTCCACCTCCTTGCCCCACTACTCGCTGATATCATTAACCTCTTCCTGTCATCTGACACTGTTCCTTCCCCCCTCAAAACAGCCATTATCATTCCCACCTTGAAGAAACCTTCCTTTGACCCATCACAGCTATCCAGCTATTGGCCCATCTCAAACCTCCCTTTCCTATCCAAGGTCTTGAATGAGCTGTTGCCTCCCAGATTTACTCTTTTCTTGTCTCCCACTCCCTCCAAGCGCCCCTCCAATCGGGTTTCCGTGCTGCCCACAGCACGGAAACTGCTCTGGTCAAGGTCACAAACAACATCCTGACCATGTGTGACCAGGGCTCCCTGTGCTTCCTCATCCTCCTCGACCTCTCCGCCGCCTTTGACACCATAACCACTCAATCCTCCTCCACTACCTCTCCTCCCACCTCAACCTTCAAGGTTCTGTTCTTGACTGGTTCAGTTCCTACCTTTCACACCGCCTCCACTTCGTCGTGGCAAACAGCATCTCCTCCAGCCCCCGCATGTCTCATGCAGTGTTCCTCAGGGCTCTATCCTCCGCCCCCTCCTCTTCACCCTCTACACACTCCCCCTTGGTGACATCATCCGCAGACATGGGGTAAATTTCCACATGTATGCGGATGACACCCAACTCTACCTCTCTGCCTCCACCCTCAACTCCAGGACTACTGACGTTCTGACCGACTGCCTGTCTGACATCAAGTCCTGGACGAGGGACAACTTTCTCCAACTCAACGTCAGCAAGACCAAGGCCCCCCTGATTGGCTCATGCCAGTGCCTCCGCACCTCAGGCGCTGGCAGCATCAGCCTCCATGGCTGCACATTCAACCTCACTAGGCCTGTCAGGAACCTGGGTGTCTTGTTTGACCCTGAACTGTCCTTTCTCTCCCACATCTGTGCCATGACCGGCACTGCCTACCACCTCCGCAACATTGCCAGACTCCGCCACTGCCTCACCCCTCAGGCTGCTGAAACCCTCATCCATTTGTCACCTCAAGGCTCGATTACAGGAACTTCCTCCTCATCGGCCTTCCCAACTCTTTCCTTCACGACCTGCAGATCATCCAAAACTCTGCAGCTCGTGTACTCTCACGCACCAGGTTCTGTGACCCCATCACTCCCACCCTCAGAAGCTGGGCAACACTTTAAACAATTCACATCAGATGTTGTACATTAAATTGCTAGTTCATTGCAAGTAACATAGAATTTACTCTGAGTTGGTACTGTTTTTGCCTGGTCCTCACCTTTAAAGCCCTCCACAGTCTTGCTCCTTGCTACCGCTGTGACTTCCTAACCTCCTACCAACCTGTCCACTCCCTCCCCTCAACGGACTCCGGCCTGCTTCACATCTTCCGCCTTGCCCGCCACACCATCGGTGAGTGTGCCATCAGCCTCTCTGCTCCCACCCTCTGGAAATCCATCCACAGTCCCTCCCCCTCCCCACTCCCTTGCCTCCTTCAAGACTTGTCTCAAGACCCTCCTCTTTGACCGTGCAGTCAGTCAACCTCCTACCCCCACCCTCCCCATCCTCTACCCTGGTGTTGAGAGTGGGATGGTGAAGGTGAGAGCAATATGAGGATGATGCTCGTGCGGTGAGAGGGATGCTCTTGGTCCAGACCATTCAACTAAAAAAAGCAATGTTTTCTCCTGGATTTGTTATGCATGTGTGCAGAAACTGTGACACAACTGTGTACATTTTGGATATGTGGAAGATTTGAGACCTGTTTTTCCAATAATACTTTCAGCCTCCGGCCCTTTTTCCTGTGGTTTACCATCTGTTTAGTAGGCAGCTGAAATGTCAACATATCACACCTTGCACAGATATATGCAAGGGAATGTCACCTGCAGTGGCAACAGCATTCAGGGGCAACGGGGAACAAAACATGTTCATTCTCCAACACCTTTCAGTTGACCGACAATTTGACCTATAATAAAGGAAACTTCTCCTGCCCGGTTTCAATGTGTCTACAAATCACAAAGCACTTTGCTCACAGACCGAGTCATCTCCAAATCACAAATTATACCCTTTTAATTATACATTCAGTTGTACATTTATTCAATTATGTAAAACCCGATTCTTCAAGTGGATATGCCTTTGGTACTTGCCATTTACTCTGCTTTAATTCTTAGTAGTGTGACAAGAGTATATGCTTTCTGCACTGTTGTTTTGCAGTCTCGAACTCAAATGGTCTCGTATTGAAATGGCATTGTCTGAGTATCAAGTTTGTGAAGATGGAGGAACGCTGTCGGTGAAAGTGGTGAGGACTGGGTACTCCATGGAATCATCTTTTATTGGTATAAAGGTAAACCTCACCTTATTTTTCGGAAGGACGTGGAAGAGCAGACCAGTCACTGGGGGCAGGGACTCTTCCCACTCAGCTCCTGTTAACCCCTGCAAGCCAAAGCCCTAGTTGGGTCTTAGCTGCACAAGCAGGGTGAAGCTTGCCAGACAGCAATATTAATGGCAAGCGATGCGGTTTTAGCTGGTTAGACCCAGTACTACCCCAACACACACTCTGGGGTCCCCAGCCTTGGCTCTTGACAGCCTGCACCTTATACTCTTCAGAATTAGCTAAGCAGGGTACGTCTCTCCAGGAATAGATTGGATGTTCCATTCCAAACATGGGAATTTCCATGGAGAGGTGGGATGTATGAAACTCTCTGTCGGATTTGCACAGTCTTAAGCATGGTGATTGGTTTCTGTATTTGTCAGACACCCGAATGACGAAAATAAATTGTATACTTCATGCATATTAAGTAACTTTCGAGATCACCCAATACCCTACCTTTCCACCCACTATCCCTATTAGTCTATATGTAATCCCTCCTTAATCATGGCTTCCAGTTGCATTCCCTTTTCATTGTCCTATTCCTCAGTATCTTGACTATTTACTTTGTTTCCTTTTTAGGTTAATGACATTTCAGCTCGTGCCGGAAAGGATTTCACTCACAGTTCTGCCAACTTAATTCAGTTTGATCCAGGTAGGAAGTAGCTACAAAACATAAAGCACATGTGACTACATATGTCCGGTGTATCATAGACTGAATGCTGCAGGATTGCATCCCTGAGATTATAATAGTTGTGTAATCTACTATCTCTAGTGTCAGTTTGGCTCAGTAGGTGTCAGCCTGGTTTGGTTGGCAACACTGTTATCTCTGGCTCAAAAGGTAGTGGGTTGAAAATCCGGCATTGGGAACTTTGAGCTCATGATCTACACTGATACTTCGGTGCAGTATTGGGGAGCATTGCGTTGTTGGAGGTGCCATCCCTCAGATGAGACATCAAAAAAGGTCACGTCTGCCTGTTCGGGTGGACCTTAAAGAAGCTATGACATTAATCAAAGAGGAAGGAGTTACCTGAGAGTTTTTGCTGACCAACAATAGTCCAGTTAAATTGGTCATTCACATCTGGCTCTTTGGGGGTTTTGACAAATTGGCTGCCACGTTCACCTACAGATACAGTTAGAGGGTACATGTGTTCAGCATTCATCCATAGAAGGAATTGGGGGTTCACACCCATGGGCTGTCTTTAGTGATGGGTTGGTTGGCTCTAGTGATGGGTTACCTTCAGTGATGGGCTGGCCTCATTAAGTATACATTATTTATCAATGTTGTGACAATTATCACCAGATTAATCACACATCTTAAATCACAAGATTCACCCTTTTAATGGGTTGCAGTTATAAACCTACTCCTATAATTGAGTAACATTGTTATACAATTTTGAGTGAAATTGAAACCTAGCAATGTGAAGGTGAAAATGAGTACAGAATTCCTTGGAAGTGCCATCACTGGCAACATTTTGGAGGTGGGGAGGTGGCGGTTGACTGACGTACAGAATTCCCTGAAGAGCCAAGCTGACAAGTCCAGGAATGCTCAACTCCACGCTGCACATAATGGAAATGGATTTATTGAATGAAGCTTGACATTGATTTGCACACACTTGAGAGAACCATTGTTGACTGCTTTTAGAAACCCTTCACGCCTGTGCAACAGATCCAGCAGAGGAAGAATCCTCTTCCAGCTTACCTAAAGCTCCATGTAAATGCAGATAACGGCAGATAATTAGCAGTCTGGAGCTTTGGGATTCATTACATTTATCAGAAAGAGAAGGGAGTTTCTCCGGGTGGCCAACAATCCGCAAAATAAAATTGATCATACACTTTTTATGGCTGTTTGTAGGACATTGCTGCACGCAAATTGACTACTGTATTCATCCACAAAGCACACACTCGCTGTACTTTACAATATATCTTGTGAAACTCTTTAAGACTATGCCAAATGTAAGTATGATTATTTCTAAATCAATCCAGCTTTGCGATGTACATTTCCCTGTAATCCTACTCCCACTGTTTTTTTTTGTCCGCTATTGTTCAGGCGTTTCAGTAAAGGGCTGGAACATCGTAATTCTCAGAGATGCTCTGGAAGAAGAAAAGGAAACTTTTGAGGTCCTACTTGAGTCTCCAGTGAATGCAGTTCTTGGTGCAAAGACAAAAGCATTGGTCAAAGTCATTGATACCAGAGGAGGTAACATCCAATGAGTAACTTATCATTATTACACAATTGAGAGGAGCAAGTTGCAATAATTTCTCAACAGATTTCTTCATGTACTGTCCCGCACCAGGCTTCGCGACCACATCACTCCCACCCTCGTTCGCCTCCACTGGCTTCCCATCCCTCAGAGGATCGAATTCAAGATCCTCATCCTCATCTACAAGACCACTCACGGCCTTGCTCCCTCCTACCTCTCTGATCTACTATCCCCCTACCTACCTGCCCGAACCCTCCGTTCCTCTGGCTCCGGTCTGCTCCACATCCCCCGCCCCAACTGCCCTACCATCGGTGGAACTCCATCCCCCAGTGCCTTCGCCGCCTCCTCCCTTTTCGCCTTCAAGGCCGGTCTCAAGACCTTTCTCTTTGACCGTGCCTTCAGCTCCCCTCTCGACTCTCTACCCCCTCCTTGCTCCCTCCCTTCCCTCCCCTCACCCTGACCATTTCCCCCCTGCTCGGGTCCTGACCCAACTGTACAGCGCCTTGGGACGTCCTCCCGACGTGAAAGGCGCTCTATAAAGGAAATCTTGTTGTTGTTGTTCCAGTTATCGTTCTCAGTCTCTTCCTTTAAAAATGTCTTAATAAGAAATCCATTAAAAGCATTGTAAAATTGATCTGATAGTTTTCCTATCCTGCCCCAATCCTCTCTGACAGCCAATGTACTTCTGTGTCCTCTCTGTATCGCACACAGGCCGCTGTAGAAATGAGGAGCACTCACCAGTGTTCAGAGATGGAATAAATCCTGCTTTCAGGTCTTTGACACATCGTGTCCACGGCTCTGTCCGTGTTGAAGAAATTCCAAACTCCCAGCCACGAGCAGAGGGGAACCAGTCCCGTGGGGATGTACCACAGGAGCTGCCGTCACAACGAACTTCCAAGAGCAGACTCCGGGCCATTGGAAACGGCAGAATGGTGGGACATGAATCAAAGTGATAACATCATTCGCGAATGGAATTTAAACAGTAAAAGTATTTAATTGAGAGTTTAGTGGCCAATTGGCTGCCTGGTGTAACACCAGGATTTGCAGACCAGAACGATAAAAGTTCAAATCCATGACCGTGCTGAGTTAATTCATCTCAACCAGAGCAGCAGGAAGAGTGCTACAATAAACCTCAGTGTCCAGGGCTAAGGGGGAGGGGGATTCAACAACAACAACTTGCTTATATAGCGACCCTCACACGGGGTAGCAAATCAACTGGGAATAAAACCAGCCCCTCTCCTCACTGCTTAAAACAAAACTTGGCACCAATGTTGAATCTTCAGCACTTATGAGTATCCAAATGGGAGAGTGGGGGAGTTGGGGGTGGGAGTGGAATTCTAAACACATTTTCTGCACTTGTTAGAATGTTTACCACCAGTCACACACATCACATCACACACCAGGTTTTCCACCTTCCCTTTATTTCAGATTTGCAACATTTACATTTGTTTTGCTAAGTTATTCAAAAGGCTGTTTTGGGAACCCCGAGAGGTTCAGAAGAGGCCTTTGCGCTGTGTCCAACTACTGTTCCAAAATAGTAAATCTGCTTTGTCTCTTTGTATTAGATACGACCATCATCAACATACAGGAATGGGACTGATCTCATATTCACGGTGAGTCGTTTAGCTCTCCACAGAAATTAATTTATATTGTCTTTTGCTTCATACTGTAACAAACTAACAACAAAAAATAATTCCACACTGGGGGAGGCGTGTAATCCCAAGGTCAGTAAATTACTGGCATGTTATTATGTTACAGCACAGAATGGCAATGACAATAGCTTTACCAAATAGTGGAACTTCACCTCCTCAAAATGTTTTCCAGGGTGATTTTGGGTTTGTGGAGAGATATTACGTGAGGCTGCTGAATAATTGCAGTGTTTAAAAACATAGATTGTGTGTGAATTGTTTTTTGAACGTCTGAAGCAGAGATGCCAAGCCACATTTTATTATCTGCCGTAATGCTTTGGCTTTGTTCCAGATTGTTATGAAGAGATGTGCATTCTCTCTGTGTTACTATTTTTAAAGACCCAGGCACAATCAGGTCACATCCAAGAGTAAGCTAAAATAATAATAATCGATGCATTTTATATCAGGCCTTATCACATTGTTGAGACATCTCAAAGTGCTTCACAGAAGTGAAACGCACAGGTGAAACTGTGCTCTGTATAGAGAAGATGTTTCAGCGCCTTGAGACATCCTCCCAACGTGAAAGGTGCTATACAAATGTAACTTTGTTGTTGTTGTTGTTGATGGTTTGTACAGACAATTAATCCATGATCACTTTTTATATCCAGAAACTTGCATGAAAGCTTGTGTGCTGTGAGCTACAATTTGAGAATCATTGATGATGTGATCACCTGTGTTTTATTCCAAGCCTCAAATGAAAATATTCAATTTTTGAAAATAAATTTGGTGTGGTTAATTACTTTTCTAATATTCTCTCCATTGGTATATGCCTCTCTCTCTGCTTGTGCTCCCGAGCCTCTGCTTGTTGGAGTATGGTTCCAGCAGCACTGGCTGCTCTGCAGTGCCCTGCCCAAGAAACCATTGGTCATGTGTGAGCCTTGTCAGTCAGTATCAGAAGGCCACTCAACTCTAGTGGGCATCACAGTAGACCTGACCACCCAACCCCAACTGCTACACATGCGCACAACCAGTAGAGTGTGCTGTTGTTAATATGATCGAACATGACACAACCAGTGTCAACCTTCAATCATGTGCTGTAGAGGGTACAACAACAACAACTTGCATTTATATAGAGCCCTACAAGTGGAGGCTCGGGACCACGAGCAAAGAGGCACAGGCCAATGGAGAGAATATTAGAAAAATAATGCATCTCACTAAATGATGCTGTCGAGGGTACAAAAAGGCTGGGGCCATTTTATAATCAACCCAGGCAGCCCCAGCTGAGACCAACAAACTCAGCACGGACCAGAATTTGAACCAGTGAGCTTTTTGTCCTGAAGCTGCAGCTGTATCCACTGTACCATTGGGGCGTCATTTTAACTTGCGTGAAAACAGTGCTTTGTGGGGAAAATGTGAGAGTTAATAACCAATTCAGTAACCTTTTTAATAACTATCAAATATATTATAGAACTTCACGCTTTACACCTTCTAACATTGATTCACGTAGTGATAGTTCTGTCAAGGAACCACATTTTCATTTGAGGCTTGGCAAAAATACAGATAATCACATTGTCAACCGTAGAAACTAAAGTATCCTACAAACATCAATGAGACAAGGACCAAATTTATTCTATTTTGGTGAATTTGGACGTGAGAGGAACAGCGATCAAATAGTTCAATGGGATCTTTAACATCTGGCTGATACCATTGCAACAAATAACTAGGATTTTGTTTCAAAGTCCCATCCAAAGGATGGTACCTGTTAAAAGAAGGTTCACAGAAGAGCGGGGCCAATATTCTTTCTTCATTACCCATCACATTAGTTGACATTCGTCTGTCTACCTCTTGACCACACTTTCGGTCATCTTACCTCTCCCTACTCCCAGCTTGGTTGGTTGCCCAGGGAGTACTGTTAAGCACTTCAGGACATCCTCCCAATGTGAAAGGTGATACATAAATAAATGTCAATCGGATTGTGCAGAGCAGTTCAACAAAATGTGAAGCACTTTGAAATGTTGAAACACAAAATCAAAAGCAAGTTTTCTGATACAAGTGAGAGACTGAATGAATATTGTGGTTTTTTGGTAGATAAAATTTGATAATGACTAATAATAAATAATCATATTTGCATTTGATATAGTGCCTTATCATGTTGTCGTGACATCTCAAAGCGCTTCACTGGATTTTACTGTGAGTGCAGTGACTGTGTAGGTGAATCCAACAGCCAATTTGCATATAGCAATGTCCCACAAACAGCTATGAAGTGAGTAAATGATTTTATATGGGGGATTGTTGGCCAGGGCCAGAACACCAAGAGAAACTCCATTTTCTTTTTGAATAGTACCATGGAATCTTTGACATCTACTAAAACTGCCAGACAGGACCTAAATGTAATATCTAATCTGAAGGATGGCACCTGCAACAATGCAGCACATCCGCAGTAGTGCAGTGGAATCTCAGCCTAGACTGTGAATTCAAAGTCCCAACGTGAGGCTTGAACCCACAAGCTTCTGACTCAGGAGAGGGTGCTACCAACTGAGCCAGGCTGAAACTCTGTAGATGATTATAGCTGGCAATAAATAATGTTTCACCATTAAAAAAATAAAACATATAGGAAGTACTTAATCCTGCTTATATATATTGAAAAAGAGAAAAGTTTCTCTGGTATCCTGGTCAACAATTTCCAAGATAAAATTGTTCATTCTCTTCATGGCTGCTTTGGGGTACATTGCTGTATGCAATTTGGCTGCCATGTTTGCCTACAAAATATACATTTTACATTTTACAGTGGATCCTGTGAAGCTCTTTGAGGTGTTTCAATAATGTGATAAATCACTATATTAAATGCAAAGATTATTTATCATTATATTTTGATTCAAACAAATATTATAAATCCTTGTTTTTATTGTGTCCTATAATATTACTAACTCATGCTTTTGCTGAATACTTTCATTATTTCCCTAGTACCATGGATTAATGTCGCTGAGGGTCGAGGATGACACCGCTCCTTTTACCTCCAATAAAAGAGCAAAAGTGCTGGTCACCAGCCGAGGACAGCAACATTTTCCTGGAGAGCCAGAACTTCCACAGGCTGACAAAGCAGCAGCAACGCAACAGTCTCGCATTCTGACGGGAAAGCAGGTGGGATTTTTGACAGCAAGAAATGACCAAAACAAATCTCCATCCATCATTCCCTGACCTCACTAATAGAACTAAGATTTTGGGGTGACTTAGTTGATTGGTGCATGCCTTGTGTTATATGATGCTGAACCAAACTAATATGAGGAACACACAATTCCTGGTTAGGGACTATTGCAAAGAATGCTATATGCCTCTAGCGTTGGGGTGGGATTCCCTTTGCATTCCTGTCCACTATTCAGAGATGACTGCTTTACAAGTTCACATGTGAAGATTGGGTGGGGCAATATTGGGATCAGCTATAATGTTCCTTTGATTAAATAACATGTTGACAATCAGTTTTGAGGCTTACATGTAAAAATGGCGACTGGGGCAGGTACCAGCAAACTTCCCTCTCAAGTTCCCCTCCCACCTTTTCCCACTCTAGTTTCCCAAGTCCAGTTCTTAGCATTGGATTCAGTCAGAGAACGCAGGTGCAGTTCTAGATGTCCTTAAGGGGTATTGTTTGCATAAAAAGTGTTTGGCAAAACTTTTTTTGTCAAGTGATTCACTTTTGAAATGATGGCAGGATGCTCTTTTGTTAAGACTGATGTCATTGAATGGTGTATTTGTAAAGAAAAGCTGAGGTCTGCTGAAGATGACTTCATGTTGACAGGGTGGCTGAAAGTGCTCTTTTGCTCTTGTCTGATTTTTTTTCTCTCGTCAATGATAGAGGTGGCCTGATGCAAATTGCCATTATTTCTGTCACAGCCTGAAACCTGCCATACAAATATGATGGTGCTTCTGTTACTTCTGCTGTGGGTTGGATAGCAATTTGTCACTTAATATGCCCTATAAATCAGGGCTGAGCCTAAGCAAATTGTGCTGAAGACCTACTCCTACTAGTATGGTAATGTAATTTGCACTTACTGGAACATGAACACAATGAGGGTGAATCAAACTGGGCCTGGAGTCCTTTCGCCCCTTGAATAACCCAAGAACTTTGAATAGGCAGATATTTTTTAATCACATGAGATCAACAACGACAACAAAATTATATTTAGAAGATCATAAGAGAAGTTCGGATCCAAAAGGCCCTTCGGTCCATTTGATCTCATCCACCCTATTATTGCCCCACAACAGCATCAAGCTGTTTATTAAATGTGCCCTGGTGTGATTGATCAACGTATCAACGTATCAATGATCTATTTGCTGGACCAGGTCTTTGAATAATATTAAAAAAGGAACATTTTTCTGTGGCATGCACAACGCCCTCTCACTTCCAGCAGGAACCAAGAACCCAGATATATTTCCTGCTCCATGTCCCATCACAAGTAAACTCTACCCTGTGTGTGAAGTACTGTTCCAAGCAGCATATATGCAAAACTCCAATGTTGGGTGGTAGTTAGGTAAGTATCAGGTAGTTAGTTAGATGTTGAAAATGTTACCAGCTCTTCAGTCCTCCTAATCCTTCTTCTCAGAGAAAGCCTTGAAAAAACTGACACTCGTTTTGCTTCTAGGCTTATTCTGCTGCAGCTTTTACGAAGCGCTGCACTCCAGAACTCCAAGGCCTCTTGTACTTTGACCAAAGTGCTCAGAAGCTGCTGAGATGTGATGGAATTGCATGGAAACCATGGAACCCAACCACTGAGGTATGTTGAAGAGCACCGAGTACTGCATTTGAAACAAAAGGCAATGAAAAATGTGCCATGAGATCTGATGATTTCCATATTGTGGAACATTCTGCTCCTGATGTCCTAGCCATTAATTGCCACAGAGGAACAACTCTTCCTCTCCTACTCCCAACTTTGTTCATATTATTTTATCTAAAAGTCACTTGCTGCACCCAATGACCAACAGTGACTTTGACCTAAGCAGATCCCAGCATTTCAATGTTGTTTCCCGTACTGCCTTAACTCAACTTGAAAGTATTCCCCGAATCTCACTGAGCCAGAAAATCATAATAAACTTGTGAGGGTCTGGGGAGGAAATAGGTTGGAGTATGTACAGCATCACAGACAGGTTGGGCTGAATTGTCTGTTTTCTTATTGTAATGCTCTATGTAATTCCATGTGCAACTTTTTTATATATTGATGGGCCAAAGGTAGGAAGCAATAAAGATAAATAAACAGAGCTTGTCTGATGTGTAGTTGCACTACCTGATAATTAATCGTGGCTGCTATTACACATTAACTACAATGAGCACTCAATGCAGGCTGATCATTTAAGACAGAAAGAAGAGATGGGACGAGAAGGTAGAAGGAGTGGAAGAGGTGGAAGGGAACTTTGAGTATCTAGGCTTGTTCAATATAGTGCTGGGTAATACTGCATTGCAAGAGATGGCATCCTGTTAAACTACAGTCGGTCTGCCTGTTCAGGTGGACATTAAAGATCCCATGGCACAATTTAAAAAAAGAAGGGCGTTTCTCCCAGGGTCCTAGCCAACAGTCCTCCAGATAAAATTGTTCATTTGCGTCATTGGCTATTTGTAGGAGAAGCTTTTAAGTGCATGCATCCTGAAATCTGCCTCATTACAATGGCAGTTCTGGAAATCATGCGCTATGAGATATGCTCTCAAGTACAGCAGTTCCAGAACTGCCACATGTATTTGGCAAATTGAGGTTTTAAAAATTAAGTACAGGTGATAATTGCTTTTACAGATTGCTTTCACTGGAAATAAAAGTTATTTATCAGTAAAAACAACTTTAATGATCCTTAAAAATTCCCTCCCCAACAAGTTATTCCATAAATACTCATAGCTGCACCTTCCTCTCAGTAACTCCATAGCTAATATGCGACCAATTAATGTGCTAATAATGACCTGCTTTCAAGGTCACTTTCCTAGAATAATGTAGATGAGGGCAAAGTCATTTCTGGGTTGTAACAACTGACAGGAACGTATCAAGTCAGAGCAACATGACAATAGTACTATATATTTGAAGCAATCTGATATATGCCTCTATCTAGAAAGAGTGTTGGCTTCCTTTCAAAAAACAGTAAACTTCCATAAAATATGTTTGAATTTGCAGGAGATCAGTGCCAAAAAGTGTCCACCTGGATGGAGTTATCATGAGAATCACTGCTATTATCTGAGTAGTGAGCATAAAGCAACATGGACTGGAGCAGCTCGAGCCTGCAAGGAAATGTAAGCTTTATTGTGGACGGTTGTTTGTGGTATTAAAGTAATTGGACTGAGAAGTCACAACATCACAACAATGATTCAGATTAAGAATATCCTTCGGCCCATATGATCCATTCCTTCCAGAAAAACGCACCCAAAAGTTGCTTTATTTTAAACGAGTCCTGTTCTGAGGTTGCCCTTTGCATCTCTAATCCTATGTGGAGTCCTGTAACTTAGTGGTTAGAGCACTCACCTCGCAAGCGATAGGACCTGGGTTCGATTCCCAGCAGGTTGAAATGTTGAGCAAGTTTCCTTACTCCACACACCTCTGTTCACCTAGCAGTACGTAGGATCCTGACTGTTAGTCGATTGGCGGACCTTCTGGGGGTAATAATCCCTTCAAAAAAAAAATTTTATAAAAAATAATTTGTAACTCAATCCACGTCTGTCTGTGGAACACTGCTGTGTGCAATTGGCTGCCATGTTTTACCTACAAAAATATACAGTGAATTCACTTTAGAGCATATTCTTTGAAGCGCTTTGAGATGTCTCGACAACGTGATAAGGCGCTATATCAAGTGCAAGATTTATTGTTATTATTATGACCTCTTGTTCCACTGTCATGGTGTAACCTAAAGAATTGTTTGAGCTTTGAACAAAATTCCGGACAGTGAACCACAATGGACTTTTGCTGGTCCAAATGAAAATGATCATGTTAAGTGCACTTACATTCAGTCTTGTTTGCATTTAAATATAGTGTCACACATGCTTCAACTCTCCACACTAAAGTCAACCTTCTATTAAGTTTCAAACAACTGTTCTTCAAATGAGACATTAAAATGTGATCCGGTCATCAGTTCAGGTGGATGTTAAAAGATCCCATGGCACTATTGAAAAAGAGAAGGGAGCCTTTACTGGTGTCCTGGCCCTCAATCCTTGAGATAAATTGATTATTTATTTCTTGTCTGTTTGTGGGACCTTTCGTGTGTGAAAATCAGCTGCTGCGTTTTCCTACAAATGCAGTCACGACACATAACAGTAATTATCTTTGAAACCATCTGAGATGTTTGACCTTGTTGGCATTATATCAAATGCAAGGATTATTCATTTTTAAGCAGGTAATGACGAGCAATTGCTATCTCTGCTGGTGTGCAGATGGATCCAAACTTTCGATCCAATTTCTAAAGCTTTTCGTGTCAAGGACCTGCTGAACCTGTGTATGATTTTGAAGACTTTTCTAATTTAGCCGAAGGTTGTACATGACTGGGAAAGACCCATTTAATGATTTATTTTCTCCAAAGACCAATTTTCCACCTTGGTGGGAATGCTCTTCCTACCAATGGGAATCCAATTTTTAAACTGAAAACGTGGTGATGAATTAGCCTGCCACTGGTAGGTAGTAAGGTCTTGCCCTGTCCTTGTTGTTAATATGTCTAACAGCAAACCTTTCATTTGTGTCCACAGGCACCAGGGAAGTCTTGTGAGTGTCCACTCCAAACAAGACATGACATGGCTGTGGGATTTCAGTGGAAGAAGACCTTTCTGGATTGGTACGCCATTATCTGTCTTTAATCTTCAGTAATTTATCTTTTGCTAATTTTTATCTTGCAATTTTTTTCCCCTCCGCTTAAAGATGTTTGACCCTTTTTTACTTCAATATGGTCAAAATGGTACCTTATACCAAGAAACTATTCTTAGTGTGTGAGCCCTGACAGAAGGGTGTGAGCAAACAATTCAACTATGGGGCATCGCAGTCAACTCTCGTCATGTCCTTGCCCAACATCCACAAACATGTCCCTTAGGTAAGGGTTTCTAGATAGTAATCAGGAGTGGGAACAGTGGTTGATTTACATATAACTGCATAGAGCTTTGCAGCAAAGAAACTAATTCCGAAATTGCCTAAAATGTAACTAAAATTGCTGAACTAATCAAGCCAGTGATTTTACTTCACACAAACCTCCACCCCTCCTAATACCCTAGTTCTATGGGAGCAATCCAACTGAGATCATCTAACTGGGATTTGAGCCTGCAATCTTCTGGCCTGCACTAATGCTGCGAATGATGCCTTTATCCACCTTGTTTCACAACTGAACCTCAACTTTACATTTCCTTACCACCAATTGACCATCAAAGGCTACAAGTAATAAAGTGGAGTGGTTGTGCTATTTTATTCGATATTAGCCCAATGTTTCAGCAACATGAACATCCTCTTGATACTGGGGTTAAATTATGAGCTAGGTTACATAAATTTTGTATCTCCTGGAGTTCAGAGGGTTGAGGGGCAATCTAATCAAGGCGATTAAAATTACAAAAGGACTCGATAGGTCAAAACTATTTCCTCTGATGGGGGAATCCAGAACAAGGGAATATAATCTTAAAATTAAAGTTAGGCCGGGTAGGCGAGAAACCTGGATGCATTTTTTCACAAAAAGGATAGTGATAGTCTGGGATTCTCCCTCTAAAGGCTGTGTATCCTGAGTCAGTTGGAATTTTCAAGATTGAGGTTGATACGTATTTGTTAGGTAAGGGTATCAAGGATTTGGAGAAAAAGCAGATAAATAGAGATCAGCCACAATCTAACAGAATGGTGGAACAGACTGGAGGTGCTGTATGGCCTACTCCTGTTCCTATGTTCCTCGTTTAACTGTATTTGTCTTTGATATCTGAGCATTCTTCCCATTATTTGACTGTAGAATACAATGGATTAGGTATGTTAGCGCATCTACATTATATCGGTTACTCCAGTTACGGGGCTTTGCCACCTGATACATTCCTCCAAATTAAAAATCCTCATGTGAGGGAACTGAGGCTATGATGTGATGCTTGATGAGATACCATCAGAAGAGATTATTCAGGCATTGTAAAGTTGTAGCAAAATTTTTATTGCATCTAACAATAATCTTTGTGACAGCTCACGAACAGCTCATGATATAACACATGCATACATTCTACGCTTACAATAGGACTTTGTCTTTGTATTTCCAGTTGTTCAGGTTTTCATTTCTATTTCATTTGTTCTAACAAATTAGGTAAATGGGAGGGAGAGGAAATCATTTTTTTAATAAAGAAATGTTTGTCTAAAAATCTAAAATCTTCTCACAGCCAATATAATGTGGCAGTACGTCAACAAAGTTTTCAGGTCAGGATATTCCGAGTTATTCCAGGAATGAAGCCTGTGGAAAAAAATTCCCAGTCAGACAATAACAGTTCTTTCATAGAACAGAAGCTACAATTCAAGCCCAAAGCTCCAAAGGCACTTTTTCCCATATTCCTGTATTCCTATGGAGCATTTTGCCAAGTTTTCAAATACAAGGATTATATATATTGTAACATGAACCCGAGTCACATAGAATGGACCTTCCACTCAGAGACATAATTCAGCCAAGTCGGTCTAGTCTTTGCCTTAAAGAAAAGGTTCTCTTGGCTTTAGTATCTCTGGCACATGGAAACCCTTCGAATCGCTAAACCTCTATGCTTTCACTCCGCTCAGCTCCACAGTCCTCTTTCCCCTGAACCATGCAGTTAGGATATCGGCTTCCTTTTTTCTCTCCTCTTAGCAGCAACACATCCCCCGTGCTGCTTTCCAAGGCCAAGAGACTTCCTGAGGGCTCGATCACCCATTTTATCCTGGGGCAGTCCCCACGCTCCGTACCATACAATCGTTACAACTCAGTTACAATATTATTAGGTGTTCAACAAATCACAGCTGTGGTGTTGAACAAATTGTATTTCAGATTGTTTTAAATAATTCTTAACTATATTCTGCAACATCTAAACATGCAATAGAAACAGTTATGTCGTAGTATAATAGACTAGCCTGGCACGTTGGTAGGACTTGGAGGGACAGACATAAATTCTTAACTTGGCTCCACACTTGGCTCCAGCACATTGTAAGTCAAAGCCATTTTTTTTTCTTCAATATGGTCAAAATGGTACCTTATACCAAGAAACTATTCTTAGTGTGTGAGCCCTGACATGTCTAGATGGCATATATATATGGAGTTCTCAGATATGTACAGACTGCCAAAACAGTGCAATAGATATTTAACTATTTGAATGTGTGTCGGACCAACACAGTTGGTAGTACTCTCACCTCCGAGTCAGATGGTTGTGGGTTCAAGACCCACATTGGGACTTTGAAGTCACATAATCTAAGCTGACACTCCAATGCAATGTTGGAGGTGGGTTGTATTGTCGCAGGTGCCTTCTTCCGGATGAGACGTTAAACTGAGGTCGGGTTGCTTGTTCAGCTGGACATTAAAGATCCTATGGTATTATTCGAGAAGAGAAGGGAGTATCTCCAGGTGACCTAGCCAACAATCTCCCGGATAAATTTGGTTATTCACTTCACGGCTGTTTGTGGAACATTGCTGTGCACAATTGGGCTGCTCCGTTCACCCATGAATACACAGTCACTCCACTTTACTGTAAATTCTGTGAAGCCCATTGAGATATCTTCCTGAAGTGAAAGACACTATTTTAAATGCAAGAATTATTACTTAACTTCTATTTCCTATTTTGTCCTTTGTTTTCCTTCAAACACACAGGTCTCAATGATAGGATGAGTCTTGGCAAATGGGAATGGGCCGGAGGAGATCCTGTGGTCTTCACAAACTGGAAACGAGGCCCTCCTCACACAACAAAGAAGAAAGGGAAGAACTGCGTGCTGGTGAGGAGAAGAGGAAAGTGGCAGGTGAAAAACTGTAAGCGGGGCAAGCCACACCACTACATGTGCTCAGTTCACTAATAAGTGCAGGAATATTCACATTGAGACCAATGTGTACATATTGTAGTGCTATAGTATTTATTTACAATATGTGGATGTGCACAAACACACTTTTTATATTTTGGGGAGGGAGGGAGGTGGGGGTGGGGTTTGGTGCTTGGCTTTGCCTGTCACTGCAAGGTTCTGTGTGTCACTGCAGCAGAATATGTATGTTTGGCTCTTGGAATGAGATGATGGAAGGGTTTCTGATTGTCATTACTAAACTTAACGACTGCTGAAAAATAGTTACAGCATGCTGTGAACGTCGTCAGAACCATTAACGGTATGAAGCTTTGTTCAAACTAATGACTGGCCTTTAAGTGTAGCGACTGACCACGTGCAATTATAATGGGAATTCAAAGTGCATATGGCATTAGGCCTTAAAATGGGAAAAGCATTTTGCAAGTCTTGTCTGTTTGGCACTTAGTAACTATCAGGCTCCATTTCCCGACGCAAATGAACTTTCCATTATGTATTTATAATGGAAAAAATTTGCTCGTGTTAGCAATCAGCGAACAAATCATGTTACTACGTCACCTGTGTTACTAAACGGTGTAGCTGTTTTTGTTCCCTACTGCGATAAACTCTGGCTTTTTCAGGCTTAACCTCCATTTCAGTGTTGCAGTAAAATTCTTCTCGCTCAGCACTCCAAAAGACTTTTGTTTTGGAAGGAAGAGAAAGGGCTGCGTGGGGTGGTTTGTCGGGGCTGAATCACAACTCATAAATTAAAGAGTGTACGAGAGAGGCCTGTGACCCTGACTAACCTGTGTAGGGAGGAAGTATATGGGAGGGTGGGGGGTGGCGGATACGTTATTCAGAAAGCACACTTCAAATGGTTTTGTCAGTAACTTTTGAAGACTGCTGTATTTTCATGCAGTGATTCTAAACTTGTGAGTAATGACACAGTGGACATGTGGAACACTGTGAGAGTGAAAACTTGTTGGATCACATTTGTTCTCCCTCCCACCACCCCCCGATTGTACCGTACAATTGTTTACCAAGTAGGATTTCTAATGCAGCACTCGCTGTTTATATTTCCCAGTGTGAACTGAGCAGGTTATGTTGATATCATTGCCTAGCAAATTATACATTTGCAAGAGTCTTATCATTGCTGCATTCTGAATTCAGCACTGTGTACTTTCACGCAATAGTAGCAAAGCAAAGGCTTTGAGTACTTAAGAGTCATTACACATTTTCATTATAGATAATCTGCACCACTGAAGCGCAGTGCTTCAGGATGATTTTCACATCACAGACATATTTAATAGATTGCTTACATTTCTTGTTGACATTTGTTTTATGCAGGCCACTGTGCACATTTGTAATGAATCACAAGTCAGCCTATTTCTAAAGTTCTGCAACTTTCTTGATAAATCTATGAGGGCTGCGAGTTTGCATTGAATAACATTTCACATAGATCCTGATCATTGTCAGAAATCCCTCATTTTCCATGTTTCTCCCCTAAACTCTGGATCATATCTACTTTTCCTGAATTTTATTTGTTTCTAGACACGTAGAAGGAACATTGAACTATTTATTAATAGAAATGTGTTGATTAAAAAAATAAAGGTTTTACTTAAACATGCATATTCTCTATTAACAAATCCATTAATGTATCATGGGCTGTTCTATATTGGTATGACAATGATATACTTGAAGTGGAAGCTTAATAAACAATATTCATTGTAAATATTACAGTATTACTGAAATCTGACTTCTTGTGCCATGTAATACAATGGGCAGCTTCTACAATACATGAACATGTACCACTTGTAACCAAGTTGCTATACGTTGGACTTATTCTGCGCTGTGTACTCCATGTAGCCTATCCCTTCCCTTGCTAAGCACTGTTTCCTTTTGTTCTGTAAGTTTTGTAATGTGCCTCTAGTAACTTATAAATAAGCCCAACATAATTCTGAAGCTTAATACTGAGCTGGAGGTATTTAGAAGGGCACCGAGACAAATACACTAAAGATACCAAAAAGAGAATAGTGCTTAGCTCCCAGCAAGGAATGCAACAATGTAACGCATGGGGCAGAATAATCTCCATTGTTTGTTTACTGACAACATTGTAAGGGAATTTTGTTTAACAAACCTGCATGACTATCCAAATATATAAAGGAAATGGATGTAATTGTGTACTTATAAACAGTTATGTACAAAGATATATTTTGTATCATAAAAGAAATTGGTTGATCAGTGAACTTTGTGAAACAGATCCCGAGTGATCCCTTCAAACGCTGACTGCTGAATATATTAATGGCATTCTACAAACACGAATAATTCAAACTACAATAAATAAAGGTTTATCAGTTAAAGCAAGGGTCTCAAAGCACACAGAGCAGAGAAACACTGAACCTTGAGATTGTCATGTTTTTTTTCATTCTAAATAGAGGATAAGTATAACTTCTTAATTGAAAGCAACTCTAATTCATAGTAATTTGCTTACCTTTTTTGCTGACATAAAGCATTTTGTGTGTGTGTGTGTGTGTATTTTCGTAATCACACGTGATTTAATGATGCCTAACATGGAAGGCACTGCAATTTATAAATCGGCTGATTAACGTCTTGAGCCTGCCAAGGCATTACTACTAGCTCTTCACAGCAATACCTTGGGATTATATCAAACACTGTTAAATTTCAGTGCATTGAATAGGTCTTATCTATAGCTATAAATGGTGATTGAAGAAAAAGATTCAGCAAAATTATTCTTCATGCCTGTTTTACACCTTTAATGAGTGATAACAGTTCTGTTACATTGTTAACAGTCTACATTTTTACATCTGTAAAATGTTTAGTCTGAGTCTTTGTTTATACCAATGAAACTGATTGTTTATATTTGTTTCTGTTGTTATTTTAATATTCACCTGTTTTGCAACAGCTATATTTTAAATAAAGTGTTAAATAACATTGTAGTGTTACCTTTCTGTGTCTTTTCACACATACAGAAAGGCAGCTACTGCTCCATAACATTGGAATGTACAGAACTAAATGAACTGAACAGAAAATGTAAAGAATTCCAGGAAAATACAAACAAATACAATTAAACATGGAAATTATCCAAGCTATTTCAATGACTTAAAATGTGCACTTTCCTGAATAATTCCTTCATTTCCTAACCAGACAAATACCTTAAAAAGAGTCAGCTATAGGAGTATGGGGAAAGAGCAGGCAAACAGGACTGAAGGGATTGCTTTTGAGCAAACTGGCACAGACATGATAGGTCAAATGTGCCATAAATTTCTATGGTTCTATGGTTACAAACCAACTTATACAAAAGTGATTTGAGTAGAATTTGGGAATTTGTATTCCAAATTAAGCAATAGGGACAATTTAAGGCAATTTTCGCATTACTGCTGTTACCCTTAGCTGTTGATGGTGTAGAATCCCCATTGTTTAGAGTTGTATGCTGTTTTCTGGCCTTCACACTCATCCCAATGACTGTACAGGCCTCAGAGCAAAACCAAATTATACATTGTTGATCTGTTAGCAGACTGATATAATATGCCTGCCACCGGCTGTCTACACGATTTAGAGCAGGGGTGGGCCATTATTTTGGCTGGCGTGCTACTCCACGAGTTTTGGTAAGCTTCACGGGCCACAAATTAAAAAATAGATGTAAATGCTTAATGATAGCTCAAAATCAAGTCTTGCACTTAGACGTGTATAAAATAAAGTCTATATAATTGACATTCATTTAAAAACAGGTTAAAATAAACAACTCATTGAGCAGACATTTATTTGATATTTATTCATTTATTCACATATTGATGAGGATGTGACAAGCTCACTCAATGGGAAGAATGAAAGTGCTGATGTGGTTAATCAGACAATTGAAGTCAGGCATCGTCTCTGCAGTTGCAATGCAGAGTAGTGCTGCAAGGTGGTCATCAGTCATCACAGATTATGATTTGATTTGAATTTCATCACAGAAAATGTATGTTGATCCAAACAGCACAAGCATCCTCCGGGCATGAACCTTTATTTTTGGAAAGGCATATTCATTAAGAGGCATAAAAACTGGGAAGCAGCACTGATTTGAATTGCTCCGCAAGCAATGGATCACACTGCAGGTCAATAAGCTCAAGTTTGAGGTCAAATGGGGCTTTGTCAACATCAAATGAGAAAGGTGAAGAGACCAAAGACAGGTCATTTTCGATCAAATTGAAATCCTTGAATCGGCGAGAAAATTCGGCATGAAAGTCAAGTAGTGACTGAGTATACTTTTTAAGGCTTTGATAGCAAACAGTAACTTGCTGCAATGTTGGAAAGTAGGCGAAATGCCTGTTTACTATCTGACGCGATAAAAGAAATAATTTCGTCATAAATGACTTGACACTGCAATACAAATCGTGCACAAAGGCTCCCTTCTGTTGCAGTTTTGAATTCAGTTCATTCATGTGGGCCATGATATCAAGGGCAAATGCAAAATCAGAGAGCCAATTCAAATCATTCAGCTGTGGGAAATCCAAATTTCTTTGTTTCATGTCCAAAAATCAATCAATCTCTGTTCTCAGTTCCCACACTCTTTTCAAGACCTTTCCAAAACTAAGCCATTTTACATTCGTGCGACACAGAACATCCGTGTGCTCGGATTCCAATTCCTCAAGCAGAGTTACAAATTGCTGTGGTTTAATCCTCTTGCTCGAACGTGGTTGACCACTTTCGTAACTGTGTCCACGACATTGCTTAGTTTTAGAACACTCTTACAGAGGACCTCTTGGTGGATAATGCAGTGTAGAAAAACAATATTCTGTTCTGGATTTGTTTCTTTGACTTGATCTTGAATTCTTTTCCGTAACCCAACATTTTTGTCTGTCAGATTTGGGCTTCCATCGGTGGTCACATTCACCAATGTCCAAAAAGTCGTCTCCAGCTGTCGTATGTTTCATTGACTGCATTGATGCCAATTCTTCTGTGAGCTCAAAATGTTCGGTGATATCTCGAATAAAAATTACCAACTGGACTGTGTCTTTGACAGCACAACTCTCATCGAGTGCCAGTGAAAAACATGCAAAATTGCTCACTCTATTTTTTAACTGCAGGTACAGGTTCTCAGAGATATCCTTGACCCGTCTCACAATAGTTCGTCTTGACAAGCTAATGTTCTCAAACTGGTTTTTCTTGTCTGGGCGTAAAATCGAGGCAGAGTCAACCATACATTCCTTTTTAAATTCTCCTTCAGAGAATGGTTTGCTGTTCTTGGCGATTTTGTGTGCAATCATGTAACTCACCCTTGCCAGACTGCACTGGCTGCCTATCCCAGAGAGGATCGACTTCAAGATACTCGTCCTCGCATTCAAGTCCCTGCACTCCTCTGTACCCCCCTACCTCTCTGATCTCCTCTCTCCTCAAAACAGCACTCGTTGCCTTCATTCCTCCGGGTCTGGTCTCCTCCTTGTCCCCCGAGTCCTCCGCTTCACCCTCGGCGGCCGTGCTTTCAGTCACTATGCCCAGACGCTCTGGAACTGCCTTCTCCACTCCCTTCGTCTCACTCCCTCCCTTTCCATTTTCAGGTCTTTGCTAAAGACCTTTCTTTTCAACCGCGCCTTTGGTCACCTTCCTCCCCCTCCCCCTGGCTCGGTTCTGGGATCTGAAACTGTAAAGCGCTCTGAGACACCGTCTAGCTTGGAGGGCGCTACATAAATCCAAGTTGTTGTTGTTGTAATCTCATCATGCGATACAAATTGTTTCGTGAAAATGCTTTGCTCTTTTTGCATTCGAACAAACATCAGCTTTCTTTCCTTTTTCTTCTGCAGAAACATTCTTATATTTGCAAGCATGTTTGCTCTCAAAATGACGATTCAAGTTGTAGTCTTTGAGCACTGCCACACTTTCTTTGCAAATTAAGCACACAGCTTTTCCACCCACACTGGTAAAACAATATTTAGAAGTCCATTCTTTGTTGAATATTCAGCCTTCAGCGTCCACTTTCCGCTTCTTTGATAAGCTCATTTCGAATTAACGTCCTCTTCAGTGAAGAATATTACCGCGATTGCCGCGCGCGTTTGAAAATTTGCCGATCCTTACATTTCTGACGTCAGCTTGATTCAACGCTTAAGGGAGCGTGTGCACAACTAAGCAGTGTGATTGGCTGATGTTCCCGGTCAGATTCAAATGCGAAATTTGTGTGACTTTCTGGGACTGTACAAACTATAATTTTTTCTATTGCTAGACGCAATGAGGGCCGGATAGAATCATTTGGCGAGCCGGATATGGCCCGCGGGCCATCTTTTATCCACCCCTGATTTAGAGGAATTGTTGTAACTTTCAAATGCCTCCGGGCTGTTGCCTCAAGCTACCTCTGTGACATCCTGCAGTCCTAATCCCATACCCACTATCTTTACCCTGTTAACTCAGGCCTAATTCCCGTCCCAACCCTCTCCACCATTCTATAGGCTAGCGAGCATTCAGACACCACTCCCTGGAACTTTGCTTTCAAAAACATCTACAAATGTGGCATTTTGATTGTACTGTCTGTCATCTCCCGCCTACCCCTAACTTTTATCCTCCCTCTCTGTCTATGTGAAATACTTTGAGCCATTTTCCTAATGTGAAGGGTGCAATCTATGTGGTAAAAGTTGTTTATACAATATTATCACTGCAAGAATTGCTGCCGCAGGGAGGAACACTAAGTGAGCAGGATTACTGTTGCAACAACACATCATTAGTGAAGTCCTGTAGTTTAGTGGTTTGAACACTCTCCTCATAAGCGAGGACCTGAGTTAGATTCCCGGGCAGGGCGAAACGTTGGGCAAGTTTCCTTACTGCACACACCTCTGTTTACCTGGTTGTTAGTTGATTGGTGGAGCAATTTTCTGGGGGTAATAATCATTTCAAAAAATAATAATTTGGTCACTCAGTCGATGACTGTTTGTGGGACACTGCTTTGCGGAATTTTGGTTGCTGTGTTTCATCCACAAAATATACAGTCAATTCACTTTACAATATATTCTGTGAAGCACTTTGAGATGTCTCAATGACATGATAAGGCGCTGTATCAAATGCAAGGATTATTATTATATCATTATTATAATGTAGTACCAGATATCTCGGTGGATGAAGTAAAGGGCAGACCTGCAAAGACTGGTTGGTATTTTCAACAAAGGAGAGGGTAAGTGTTTTGTTTTCATGAATGATTCTTGTTTGGCCGAGCAGCACTCTTACCTAAACAATGGCAGCACAGACCGGGAGCCACCCCACACTATCACCTTTGTTTTTAGCCTTTTTGTTCCCAGCTCAGGAGGCCCAATCTATCTTGTTAAAGTGTATTGAGACACTCTCTTACATCAAAGGTGCCTTATAGGCATACATAAAGGCATTATTTCCCCAAACGCTACAACAACAACAGCAACAACAAGATTACATTTGTATAGAGCCTTTCACGTCGGGAGGATGTGGGGAAAAAAAGACAGTTGAGGGTTGAACAAGACACCCAGGTTCCTGACTGGTTTGGTGAGTTGCAGTGTGCAACCATGGAGGGTGATGTTGCCAGAGGCTGAGGTGCTGAGGCGCTGGTGTGAGCCAATCAGGAGGGCCTCAGTCTTGTTCACATTCAACTGTAGGAAATTTGCCCTCATCCAGGACTTGATGTCCGACAGATAGTCTGTCAGGACAGCAGTGGTCCTGGAGTTGAGGGTGAGGCAGAAAGATAGAGTTGGGTGTCATTCGCATACATGTGGAAGTTGACCCCATGTCTGCGGATGATGTCACCAAGGGGGAGCATGTAGGTATTAAAGAGGAGAGGGCCAAGGACAGAGCCCTGGGGGACGCCAGATGTGACAGTGCGGGGGCTGGAGGAGAAACCGTTAGAGGCAACAAAGTGGAGACGGTGAGAGAGGTAGCAATCGAACCAGGCAAGGGCAGGTCCGTGAAGATTAAGTAAGGAGGAGAGGCAGTGTATGAGGATGGAGTGGTCGACAGTGTCGAAGGCGGCACAGAGGTCGAGGAGGACAAGGAGGCAGAGGGAGCCCTGATCACAGATGTTCAGAATGTCATTAGTGACTTTGACCAGGGATGTTTCCGTGCTGTAGACAGCACAGAAGCCGGATTGGAGGGGTTCAAAGAGGGAATGGCGAGAGAGAAAGGAGCAGAGTTGGGACGCGATGACTTGTTTCAGGACTTACAACCTCCATCTATCCTCTTATCTAGGTCCACTCTATTCTTATCTTTAATTCCAGCCTCAAAACATATTATCTCATTGAACATGCCAACGGCCCCCTCCCTCTCTTCCTCTCCCTTCAACCCATCCTTGTAAAATGCTTTGACGTGTTACTCTAAATGAAGGATGCTATGTGTATGTATATAGGTACAAGTTGTTTCACTCTGACTTCTGCTTCATTGATCTAGGAGCTGGCTGGTTGTAGAAATGGATATGTAAACAGTATGTACATGCATTGTTGTCTAACACAATGATAAGCAATATCAGTGACATCCAACAGATTTCTTTAATGTATTAAACATTAAATAATATTTATTGTATAGTATTGTGCTCAAATCACTGACAGCAACATGGCTGTGTATTTTCAGAGCAGTTTTTGCTGGTCAGTGTGATGTACCTTGGTTGCTGTAAATCCCTTGGGACGTCCTCCCAACGTGAAAGGTGCTATACAAATGTAATCTTGTTGTTGTTGTTGTAAAGCGTCCTCATTTTGTTTCTTTGATTAAGGAATTCTTTGTAAGGAATCCTGTTAGAAATCACCGCATATTAGACCTCAATGTCACAAATATCACCTTTGTGCAGAAACAAAAGGCGTCATTGCTGGCTGCCCACTCACCCGTGCCACGTTACAGCAGGCGCGATGCTGGAAAGAGGTGTCAGAACTAAAACTGTCTCAGTCCATTCTCCCCACCGCACCCCCCGCCCTAACTCCCACCCCCATACTTCAAAGACTACAATACAACCATCTTGGTGCTAGATGGCAGGAAGCGCCATCGTTGACAGACCCATACTGTAAACTCAGCGACATAGGACAGTCCACAAACAAGAGTCATGTGATAATCATGGGGAATTTCTCAGTCAGGAAATGGCACATATCATGTGGAAGCTAAAGGGAAAGAGAATAACCATATTCCCAGGAGGTGCAATATTGAAGAGAAAGAAAAAGGTGAAGAGTAAGATCAGAGCAGCTCTTCCTGTAAAGTAACCAATAACTATGGTATTCTATGCCATGGTACTCAAGAGAGCTGTGTGGATTTCCTCATTAACCAGCACTATGTACACAATCTATGCAATTGTAGCTCAGTGCTAGAGCACTCGCCTCGCAAGCGAGAGACAAAACATTGGGCAAGTTTCCTTACTCCATACACCTCTGTTTATCTAGCTGTAAGTAGGAATCCGGTTGTTTGTCAATTGGTAGATCACTTTTCTGGAAGTAATAAATCCTTCAAAAAAATGTGGTCACTCAATCCACAACTGTTTGCGAGACACTGCTGTGCGCAATTGGCTGCCGCATTTTGCCCACAAAATATATAGTCAATTCACTTGATAGTATATTCTGTTAAACAATTTGAGACGTCATGAAAACGTGAAAAAATTCTTTAACAAATGCAAGTATTATTATTATAATTGTGTTTCCTTTTATTAGAAAGATGTTTAAATTGGCTTCATAAATTGGACCAAGCCAGTCCACTTTTAGATGTGGATTGGACCAATACGCATTCATTGTCCCTCCTTGCTCCCAGACTGTTCAGTGAATTTATCTGAGCCAAGCATCTCAGGTCACGCCCCACAGGAATAAAATCAAAGAGAACATCCAATAAACATGACTGTGAGTGTGAATTAACACCAGCATGCCATCCCAGGGAAGGCCTCCAGAAATTCAATTCAATTGCACTACAAAGGGATTCCCCTGGCCGATCATTGTTTCTCAACCCTTTAAACTGACCTCATAGTTGGCTCAGGAATCTTTCCTTCAGCCAAGAGGGGATAGTGCACACACTGCTGAGAGTAAGATGCATCTGTTGCCTATTAAATTGCTGGTGATCGTCACGTTGATCACATCTGTGCAAGGAAAGAACCTGCCAAAGAAAACCAGGAGAAGACCTCTTTTCCTGGTGTCTGGCAGCCAGCAGAGGAAAGAGAATGGGAGTGAGCTGGGGATAGTTGAACTCAGCCTGATCTCACACCTTGAAGAGTTGCCTGAAGCCTCCACTGTGTTAGAAGGTGTAACTCGGGGCCAGACAAACAAACAAATGACTCAGAAAACTGAGCAAAGCCAAGTGCTGCCAATGAGTTCTCCTGCAAAGGAGAGTGCCAGAGGAAGTCTGGGTGACATAAAGAGAAAGGAAAGTCCAACAGCCTCAGACGATGCTTTTGGGGTGCAGTCCAGAAGCACTCCTCCAGATCCGAAATTCGCCAAGAAGTTTTGGAATCACTTCCTGGTCAGAAGAGGATCAGCTCTCCAGGACCTGATATTACCCATGAAAGCTGACGAAATGCAACAAGAGACATGTGGTACTGTGCCTTTCTCACAGGTAGGAGCTGAATGCCAGAGTTGGGAGTGGGAGGGAGGGGGTAAAATATCACTCACAATTTTATTTTGCATCTTCCTTTAATCTTAACACTGACGTTTTATCATGTTAGATCTCCGTAAAGATTAATATCTATTGAGTGGAAAAGAAAGATCATATCAAGATTAGACAGTATCATGAAGAGTCCTGTTGCTCAGTGATATTACCCATATCAAAGCACTTGGCTTTGCTAAGAGCACTCACCTCGCAAGTGAGAGATCTGGGTTCGATTTAAGTTTCCTTAAATGCCTCTATTTACCTAGCAGTAAGTAGGAACCCAGTTGTTAGTCGATTGGTGGATTGCTTTTCTGGGGATAATAATTCCTTCAAAATAATAATAATAAATTGGTCACTTCAATCCACAACGGTTTGTGGGACACTGCTTTGCACAATTGGCTGCTGTGTTTCGCCCATAAAAATATAGTCAATTCACTTTACAGTATATTCTGTGAAGCACTTTGAGACGTCCCAAAAACATAAGGCGCTATATCAAATGCAAGGATTATTATTATGTGAAGGGCACTATATAAATGCAAGATGTTGTTGCAATATAAGAATTAGCCAGGCAAAAGAAGAGCAAGGTCCATCCTAGCCTTCGCTTGACATGTCGTGTCCCAAACTACATGCTGTATCCCGAAATATTATTTTCTAGCAGAAATCTTATCAAATATGTTCTTGAAACAAACAACACTTTCTGCTTCCACCGTTTCCCTAGGGAGCCTGTTCCATAAGTTATTACTCGCTCACTGAAGCAGTGAGTTGTTGTTGAGATGGTGGGAGAATCTCACCCATGATAGTGAGAGGTCACTCACACACTCTAATTGATACTCTCTCTTGCTCTCTCACACACTCACAACACACTTGTTCACACACATACACGCTTGACACATTTCTCACACACACACTCTTACTCTTATCTTGAACTCATGGACACAATATGCTTGCTCTCTCACAACCCACTCACTCTTCACACACAGTCTCTCAAACTTTCACACACACATCCAGTCTCACACCCTCTTGCTCACACACACACTTGCTCACACTCACAAACACACATTGTCTCTTTTCTGCTTTCTCACACACTCTCACTGTCTCATTTTCACACAGTCTATCTCACACACTCTCACAACAAAATCTCTCACTCTTCCACACACACACACACTTTCCAGCTGAAAGTGCTCAGGAGTCGGATTGCCATCTGATTATCAACTATTGAGACCTCACAATGGATGTCCATGTTTTCTTCCCTCTTTCCCCCACCCAGAGTATAACACACAAAGACTGTGAGCAAGTGGTGTTGCAGAACAACCTTTGTTTTGGAAAATGCAGCTCTTTCCACGTCCCTGGCGCAGAGGACAGATTCTACACCTTCTGCTCCCACTGTTTGCCCACCCAGTTTCACCTGATAAATATACAGCTGAAATGCAAAGGAGGCGGTGTGGTGGGGAAAGTGTTGATGATGGTGGAGAAATGCAAGTGTGAGGTGCAGCAAGACAAACACCTCCCACTGGGTCTGGTTGAGACAGACTTGAACAAACAGATATGAGGAAGGATTACAGCAGAAGACTCACATTTTCTTTTGAGCACTGAACATTTGTTCAGTGACATCTCTCCATCTTGTAACATATGCAAGTCACTAGAAAGTGATCGGAAACAGGAGCTCTTGCTTTATTTTCCCTTCCTTGGACAAAATTGTAAATAATAATAATGATCCTCGGATTTGATATAATGCCTTCCACTTCAGGAGGGCATCTCAAAGCGTTTCACAGGTTTCACTGTAAAGTGTAGTGACCATGTATTTTGTAGGCACATTGTACAGGGTGTTCACAAAGTTACCCCTATGCTTTTTTCTACAGTGCATTGACCAATAACTGAAACATGCAGAAGAAAGATGATAATTGTAGTTAGAAGTACTTAATTGTATTCATTAGAAGTGTTTCACTGTATTTAGACATCCGGAGGATTGATGTGAGCACCAGCATTTTCATGGCAGCTAATGATCTGTCGCCATGTTCAGTGTGACATCTTCCGTAACATGGATGGAGTGACGAGGAAGTTACTGGTATCAAACATTGTTACACTCATCTACAACAGAAAATAAAAATGAATTGGAAGAAAAAATAATTGTAGTGTACCTCATGGTATCCCAACGGAGATCTGCTAATTGAGCACAGACCTTGTAAATGATGAGTGTCAAGACCTAACTACTTGTTGAATAAATTCACTACCCAGAGTTGATTGAGTCATACAACTTAGGAAGCTCCCAGGTTCAATCCCTGTCTGAGTTAGCTGATCACAGCACTGGGCAACAATATGGTGTGATATGGGTTACAATCAACTTCAACGTTCTCGATTAGATGGAGGAAAATTCTGTCTGGGTTCCTGTTTATGATCACTGTCCTGTGACTCCTTGCTGGAAAACAGTAATTAAAGGAAAGAGTAATTAGCCTTTGCATTTGTACTTTTGCTGTGAAAATCCCAGCTGCCAGTTTCAAAATTGTTTATTCCTTGATTGTGCGTGTAACTGATCTGGAATTGGTAAATCTGCCTCATTAAACCATGCTGAATGCTGTGCTTTGATATTAATAATAAATAAATAATAATAACAATAATTCTTACATTTGGTACAGTTTTCTTCATGGCAGAAGGACTTCCCAAACACTTCAGACAATATACTGTAAAGTGGATTGACTGCGAATTTTGTGGGTAAACACAGCAGCCAGTATGTGCATAGCAATGTCCCATTAACAGTCATTGTGAGTGATAATTTTATTTGGAGGATTTGTTGGCCTGGATACCAGGAGCAACTTCCTTCTCTTTTCAAATAGTGCCCTGGGATCTATTAACATCTATTTGCTTCCCACCACCATTTCACAGTGGCACGAATGTTGGTGGGAGGCAAGTGCTAACATAAATACTTATTAGATAGTAAAAGAAAAAATAACCCCTAAATAGGGGGATGTGGAGGAAGGAAATTTCAAACGTTAACTTACCTTTCATTAACTTCTCTGAAGACCTTCCTGCCACAAAGCTTCCTGCTCGCATGGGCGTTCTATCCAAGCCTTGCATCACATACTGTAGCCCCATCCTGCACCCAAGCTCTCACCCCATACTCCCTCCTGGGCACACTCTCTCTCTCTCTCTCTCTCTCTCTCACACATACATGCAACCCGCACTGTTAAAAAATGGCCCATTGAATCTTTTTGCCAGCAGCACAAAAAAACAGTCAGATGGCAACCCCAGTCTCATGTGTGAAGAAGGATATTTGAGGGCTGCCACCATTCTGGAAGCACGCATATGGATGAGTCGTTCCTTTCAAGAGAGGAGGAATTACACGAGAACAAAAACTGCAAGGAGTTAAAAAAAACATTCCATTTGCCACAAAATCTTTCCAAGTGAAATATTGGGTCTTGAATGAAAATTGGCAGTCACTTAGTAAAGCTTTTGTCTCAAACAGACTTACCGAGCAGAATCTAATGCACATATGAGGTTATTATTAGTCGGGTATAAGATTTCATGATATGTTGGGTTTTCAAATAAGAAGATTTTAAAATAATAATCCCTACATTTGATTTGGGATTTTTCATGGTTGAAGGGCATTCCGAAGGGCTTCAAAAGATTTACTGTAAAATGTAGTGACTGTGTTTTATGGGTAATGCTGGAGGGATTATGTATGGCACGTATAGAATATGTGTAATGGAAGCACCCTGACATTGCGCCACATTACTTCTCTTTGACATGGTGGTCTGTACACTACAGATAGTATCCTAAGATGGAGGCATCAACACTCCCATGCCCACCAGTTTTAACTCCACACTTTTTTTTTGGTGGGTGGTGGGGGGTGAGTTATGGCTCAGTGCTGTTCTGGTAAATATGTTTAAGAGAAGCATTACTGTCAGAGGTATTATGGATGTGCAAGACCTTAGAATTTGATCTTTACCATCGCTGCTGCCAAATTAATGGCAGTACTCAGAAGAATAATCCTTTAGTTTGATATCCCATATCATGACATATCATGATAGCCTTATCATGACATGAGGACATCTCAAATTAATCTCAAGTTGAATATCAAGCAACTTTGCTCAATCCTTTTTTTTATATTATGCTCTTTTTATTTCAAAGGCAATAAAGATGATCAAAAAAATAAACAAGTGGCATAATTAATGTCATTTCATGACTTACACAATGCCGCTACACTTCTCAACATAAGGTTAATTGGAACAGCATCCTCTGCTCCAGCGCAATAATTTCTCAATCTGTAGAGGCCGCAACTCCTGTTCCAACACAGTGTAGGGTTCAGATAGGATACATGGGAAAATGTGGATATTCTTCATTATGGGTTATCAACAGAGGTGAATTTGATTTTACAGACAAGCTCATAATAATAATCCTTGCATTTGAAGTGCTTTTCACATCTTCAAACCATCTCAAAGCACTTCACAGAATATACTGTAAAGTGAATTGACTGTGTATTTGTGGGTGAAATAATACAGAAGTGATATAAAGATACTGATTGACTTTCTGCATTCAATCCCTCTCCACATCGAACAGATTTACACCTTGATTTGAGAAGCACAGGCTATTAGGTAGGGGGAGGAGACAGAGCTATTAAAGTAAAATATGTTAAACTGCATGAAAGCTTGTGAGGATGGAAACCCAAGACAGGAGTGGAAATGCAGCTAAGGCAAAATTAAATAACAAAGGTCAAAGGAAAAATTGCAGTGCCTTCATACTGGAAATTTTACGTGAAGGTGTGTCTCCTCTCAAGGCCCTGTCCAACTTTCTTTTTTCTTTTTATTCTTCCCTAAAGATGGTGACTTGCTGGGGTCTGGTTTCACTGACTCAGCCGAGTGACTCTTCCTTGTGGAAAGGCCTTGGAAGTTATTTGTTGACAGGCAAGATAAAAATCATTACAGATATGATCATTGCAGCACCAACATGCTC